ACAGGAGGCTCACTTGAAGGGCATTTAGTTTTTTATCGTTTTCTTTACCACTACTGCCTTGGGTTGTTTTTGTTCTTCGGCCATTATTGTTGCTATGAGACCTTTTCAGTCCGAGCATCAACCTTTCACTTCAAAGACGTTCACTGGTGCCTTGATGTGTTACCTGCTCTGACCATCACTAACAGCTGCTCTGCTTCTTCTTCACTCCTTGGACCCGTTTCTGTGTTTGGTTCCAGTTTTGTTACAAGAACGACATTGCAGCCATTCACTGTAATCTGTATAAATCATACTCCAAATGTCTTATATGTTCGAAAATTGGTTTGTTCCAGAAAAAAGAAGAAATAAATAATTACAACTCCCATTTAGGCGACGTCCCCCACACTCTAGCATGACAGATGAGAAAGGAATCATTATTCCCAAAAGTACCCGGCGACTTTTTCATTTATTTATTGATCCTTATTAAACCACAACAGTGCAATTAGGCACAACATATTTTATTAATTTGTTTCTTTCTTTCGCCCTCTGCCAATGGTAAGCTTCGGTATTATAATACTGTCATTTGTCGGGACATAGCTCTGCCTCTAGACTGGTTTCTATTTATATTGTAAAGTTTGAAAAAGAGGACACATTGCTTCCTAATTCCACTTTGTTACAACAGGCATAATTGTGCACTTGAGACCTAAACAGAAACCTATGTAAGTCTGCACACAATTTTTAAATATTATTATTTTTAACTGATATAATCTTTTAATAATAATTAAAGAAAAAATATATTTTTTAATTTATATCTGATATCTTCAATTATTTTTGAAAAGTTGCTCGGATGCATTTTTCTTGACTATTTGTGTAAATTGTCAGCCTGGTTAGAGCATGGTATCTTTAGAAAACAGTCCTACATAGAAAATAACATATTTCTCTAAAGGGGGGGGGGGCTCTCTACAACGTACAATCATGAAAAACATTAGAAAATAAACAGCAGTCTCCTCTCCTCTCTCTCTCTCTCTCTCTCTCTCTCTCTCTCTCTCTCTCTCAGCTCTCTCTCAGCTCTCTCTCTCTCTCTCTCTCTCTCTCTCTCTCTCTCTCTCTCTCTCTCTCTCTCTCTCTCTCTCTCTCTCTCTCTCTCTCTCTCTCTCTCTCTCTCTCTCTCTCTCTCTCATTGTACCCGTCTGTTATTTTTAGTTTTAACATTATTTACTTAAAGGGAGAAAAACACATTAAAGCATGCCACACAGTACTCATCTCGTCTTTTATCCGATTTAAGAAGGAAGCTGAGGCGAGATAAGCTGTTGAGTTCAACTCCACAATTATGGCTGGCAGAAAGTAGATTAGTTTTGATGCCAGGAATAATATATTTGATACGTTTGCTGTTAGTTTGAAAGCCTGGTTGTTTTTGGGAATGATATAACATGAATACATTTTACATTTGAATATAATTTGGGCAAAAGCACTGCTTGAAAAACAAGTGATTCAGTGTGGGGATGCAACTAACAATAACCCCCATTATCACTTGTTCCGTTAGTGTTTAAAAAAACAATATGTCAACTACAATTTGAGACAAACAGAGCTGCTTGAACAACAACTCTGACGGAAAATCCATTATCGAAAGGTCGCTGATTTCTGCAAATTGACTAATGATTTAGTTCCCTTTGCTGCACATTTTTTGTAATGAAACACTTCTGCGATTTGTTCATGAATCACCACCACGACATCTATGTTATCTGTGGTTGTTTAGATTCTGCAGATCAAGAATAAAGTTTATTTGATGTTTTCCATCGATAAAAGAATACATTCTACAGTACACACATGATGCAGGCCTTTCAAACTTTTCCAACTCTGAGTGCTTTCCAGTTGTTATAGTTTTTATTCGAGCCTTTAAGCAGCATTACCCAACCCATCATTTACTGAAGGCACTTTAGCAGACCCAGAATTGCGTTCTTGGCTTGAAACGAGCTTCTTCAGATGAACACCCCCCCCCCCCCATCAGTCAAACACGTTGCTGCCTCCTGATGCGATTGGACTGACCTCTCTAATAATGTCTGTTTAAGCCGCCCTTAACCCTGAATCAAATCAATATCCAGCTGTGTGAAATCAATACATGTGCTGAAAGCGATAGTGTCAGAGGTCTAAGCGCTACAGGTTGGGATGGGTTATTGATTTTTTTTTTTTTATTCTTAGCTCATCTTGGTCATGTGTTCGCAGATCCCAGGTCAGGGACAGAGAAAGAAAAGTGCTATACACTGTGAGTCAGGGTGCTGGCAGGGTGAGATTCTCACTGAATATTCTCATTGCCTTGGGACTGAGAGATAAGTTCTTTCAGGAGAAGATACTCCAAGTCAGTAGACAACTTCTTGTCAATGATAAATATTGCGTTCAGCTTTTTGCATGCTGGTTGTTGGAGTCGGAGCATCGAGATAGAGGGATAAGAGAGGGGAAGAACTCATATCCTCTTCATGTCTCCTCTGCAGGAACACGGAGCCTTCAACAGCTGGTTACTAATGGAGAGTTTTATTCAGGAGTTGACCCTTTTCAGAAGAAGATCTCATAAATCACATTGGACTAAGGTGTTTCTGTGTTTTATCTTACTGTGAACAATATTTATTAGCTAAACGCGGCGACATTGCGAGCCAACAAATGCTGCTTTCTTTTATAGGTCTATATATTTTAGTCAGGTTGTCTGAAGGATGCTGTACTCCTTCGCAGAGGCATCCTCACTCTTTGGCTTTAGATCAAACTAAAGGAGAGAATAAATGTGGTTCTCTGCATGCCATATTTCTCATTAAAAACAATTCTCTATAGAAATCTGTTTCGGAATATATCCAAAATGATATTTTAGTTTGAAACATTTGTATGAGTATCACGCTCTTCCCCTTATTTTACATTTCAAACATCGCTGTTAAATGTCTGTAGGTTGGACCTTTATGCAGAACAGAGGCTGACCTTGGATCTGACGTTAGTTATGGATAGAACAGTTTCATGGTCAAGAAAAATAGTTTCAAAATATATTTAAAAAAACGTTTTCAAACACCTTATGTAAAATAATCTATATTCAATGGTCCAAATGTTTGCTGCCAAGTCCCTCCAAAATGTGGATTAATACTCTGCTTTTCTATTGGTCAGGAGAACTGTTGTTTCCTGAGCTCACCTGAATGAACACAAATTGAATTAAACCAATGATTCTATTATGTATATTAAAGCATTGGTCTCTAATGACCCAGAGGGAGAATATGGTGTGCAGACAGCAGTCAATGAATAAATAATGAATGAAAAAAACCACAGTGATGAGTAAAAACTGGAATAGATTCATAAAAGGACACAGGTGAAAGATACACTTTTGACCCCTAGTGACGGTATTGAGCATTGTTATTAAGAGTGGGTGCCATTCTGTTTGTTTTGTGCTCCAGGGACTAACAAATTACATTTCTTCTAGTTTCACGCATGATCAACTCATGGTGGCAGAAACGTGTTAAGAGTTATAATCTGTGAAGACCGCTCGCAAGGAAACATCATGGAAGTATTTTTCGGGCTGCAGGGAGTTTGAGGTTGCAGTACTGTGACAATAGGACAATTGTTGGCACGTGGCATGTGTTTTTAAAATGTAGTATTATGTGCAAAGTTGCCATTCATCTTAGACACAAACAATGCGTTCAGATGAACTTTTGTTTGTTTACAAGATAGCAAACCCTATTTAAAACATCAGTTTGTTCTTCAAAGCTTTAGTTTGAGGTTTAATCGGTATTAAAAAAAGTTTTTATTTCGAAAAATAAATGCATTTTAGTTACTTCCTTAAAATCAGCACAAGTGGCTAAAAAGACCACGTGGAGATCTAGGGAACTATTATCTTTTTTACAGTGAATAATTGTGTAAATATTTAATATTTTCTGTGGATATTTCAACATGTTTTGATTTTGACGAAACACCATCTATGTGGCGTAAATATTTTATAGCTCCAATGTCGAAAACACCAAGTTGGGACCACAGGGTGCCTTTAAATTACACAGAGATCAGCTTTAAGAGTACATTTAACAAGCGGTATTCTGCAACACTTAATGAGAGGCTCTTGTTGTATCTACAGAAAGAACAGCTCCAGGTGGGAGAGCAAAATATGTTTATGAGCCAAAGTCATGTCTTCATCATGTCGTTGCATTTCTGAAAATAAGGCAATATGTGCATGTTTTCGACTTGCTGAAAGCTTTTCATATGATAAATACGATCTTTTAGCTTGTCAATGTATTGAATACGGCGTGAATGAAACATTTTTATAGAGCTGTAAAAGCTTTTTACAACAAGCCCATAGCGTTTGTAAGATTTAAGGACCGTCACTCGCACTGCTTAATGTGTGAAACGTATCAGGTCAGGTCGGGTCACTCCTGTAGCCTGAGGGCATTGAGGCGCTTTGAAGACACCACTGCCCGTCTCCAAACATCCCGATCTTTCACCACTCTCTGGCACCCCACCACCACTTTCCCCGTCCATCTCTTTTATTTCCGTCGGCCATTCTCCTCTCAGCCTGTCTGAAACTGTTCTTCCCTCAACTGCACCGTACATGATGGTTATTTTCTAGGGACCCATTTATTCTTGTTATGTGTCCGAACTCTCTCGTCTAGCAGTTTCCATCAAGAGACATATCAAATAGCCAGTTATCCTGGAGAGCCTGGGAGAAGAGAAAAAGTCACTAATTTGATTTTCTTAAGATCATATATTTTTCTAAATGTTTGTGCATCTTTCATTACATCTTTGACGAGCCACATAATGTGGGATGACACAGAAACATAAACTGTTTATATACAGTAGGCAATATGCAGTCTTTTTGATGTGCTTTGTAAGGTGCCCTGCGGAATTCTCTCTCTCTCTGAAGTGATTGGTGCCCCACTAACATTTTTAATAGATCTCTCTTGATGTCAGATTCACAATTTTAGTTCGATAGCGCTGTATCGAGTACAATGGGCTCCTCAAAGGGTCATAACGTTTCTCCTCCTCTGTTTGTGTCATCAATCTTTCAGCCTGAGCATGTCCACTGGAGCCACGCCATGACTTCCCTCAACGAGTCAACCTCCCCTCCCTCCTTCCCTCTCTCTTCCTTTGAGCACAATGTCTCCCAATTTATCACCAACGACCCTTCCTACTCCCCCATTCCCTTCTCCACTTCCTCCTCGCTGTCGTCGTCTAACTGCACCATGTCTCCGTCGGCCTCCTCTCCTCCCTATAACTTCTACGCCGTGCTGCTGGTGCTCCTGATCTTCTGCGTGGTGTTCGGGAACGTGCTGGTGTGCGTGGCGGTGTCGCGGGAGCGCGCTCTGCAGACCACCACCAACTACCTCATTGTCTCGCTGGCCGTGTCCGACATGCTGCTGGCCACGCTGGTCATGCCCTGGGGCGTCTACCTGGAGGTGTGTGCGCTCTTTTGTGTGCTGGTATTGATTTATTGTGTTTCTGTATGATCAATGATCCTCTGACACACCCTCAGCTTGAGGCAGTGGGAACTAACTGTAGATAGAAATGTTGTGGATTGGGTGCTTGTCACTCGAAAGGTTTGTGTCCATTTCAACACATGCGAAACAAGTTCAGGAACGTCATCGTTAAGAGCCATTAAAGAAGATATGGAAATGAAATGTAGATTGAAGCTTTAACAAAGGTTATGTTACGAATGAAGGCTGCATTTATAATTATGTCCATGATAGATACATTTTCTATTTTCTCAGTTGATTGATGAGTCCTTATAGAGCTCTCAAAACGTGTTAGTTGTAGCTTTAAAATCAATTAGTTTACATTTCTGATCTCCTGCTACATAATGAACCATCCAGATCTCTCAGGTCTTCTGGGACGGGTCTGCTTTCTCTTCCCCAGAGTCAGATCCAAACATGGAGAAGCAGCGTTCAGTTATTAAGCTCCAAATATCGTGAACAAACTACCAGAAACCTGCAGGTCCGCTGCAATCCAGACTGACATTTCTGTTGTAAAGAACTTTGAATTGCCTTGTGTTGAAAGGTGCTATACAAGGACATTGGGAATAGTAGAAAAAGCCCATCACAAGGCCATGTCATGAAAGTGTTTATTGAGTATGACCAAAACATGTTAAGTTTATCACATTAGACAAAGAATCTTGTAAAAAGCATTGTCAAAATAGTTCCAGATGAATTTTCTGTCAATCGACTGAGAGCTCTGTAACAAACCACACAGGAAGAGTGAAGGTGGGAATAAGAGGAATATGAATGTGGAATATGATCACCGGAAGACATTGCATTTACATGCCAGGCTGAGCTTAAAAATGAGCTTCATTGCCTGTCCCATTGCCATATACTTAATTATACTCTGCTATTACATTTTCAAAAGCTTTCTGCCATCATTAGCATCGATCTTCCCTGAGCCGAAAACTGCTGCGTCCTCCAATGCTCCGATCCTGATGCAGCTTTTATAGTTTCTACCATCTCTGCAACTCACTTTTTCCCAGAGCCTGAGGGGACGTATTCAGATTTCTCATTTCGTCTGGCAAACAGACTAAAACCCAGAGATAATTGGTTAACTCTCCTACGAAACAAAGGAGAGCAGAAAGTCATCTGCTTTAGAAGATTGGTTTGGAAAATGTTTGGTATTGCTGCACCAACAAAAAAAGGACTCAAAAGGTGAAATTAAAACATTGCTGAATAATTCCCTGATTAAATTAGGCTCTAGGATAGAATCAAAATAAAAACTTTAATTGACTAATTAGGTCTAGGGAATTATAAACAGTTTCTCACAGACATTTATTTTGGCGTTACAGAAACACATACAAAGTTTAACTTAATCATAAACAGTCTGTAAACATTTTAATCCGTCAATTAGAATGCTACTTTCTGCCCTCATTATAATGATTATTTTCTGTGACGGGAATTATAAACATTTCTCCCAGACAGAAAATGTATTGGCAAAATACTAATTACTACATATACCCTGTTTCCCGTTAAGTTGGAATAAGACACAGACACATTCCTCTTTTTATTCCTATTCACACACACAATCTTTATGGGCAACAGTGTAGTTTAGCGTAACCCTAAAAACATAACCTTTCCATTGTGAAGTTAGGGAGAAATTAAAATGTTTACATTTGTGTTGGGTAAATTGGCTCACTTCATAAATAAATTCATTATGGCCTAAAGCAGGGGTGTCAAACTCAATTTCATCGCGGGCCACATCAACATTATGGTTGCACTCAAAGGGCCAGTTGTCACTTTAAGACTATATAAATATACATTCATATAATATATATTAAATAATGTATTATATAACATTATTGGCTCTGCATTGGATTATTATCAGTTCTGGTAATAACTAATAACGTCTGAAAGCAGAAGTCAAATAATTGAAAGCAAATATTCAACAATTACACCAATTGTTTTGTGTACTATATTGTTTGCAAGCTCTTGTGGGCCACATAAAATGAGGTCACGGGCCGGATTTGGCCCGCGGGCCTTGAGTTTGACACCCCTGGCCTAAAGTAAAGAAATATATAATAATATCATTAAATATGAAATACCTGTGAGTGATTCAGCCTGGTTAATATTAACTCTGCTCCACAAGGGCAAACCCAGTAAAAGAATTACATCCGGGCTGAAAACTATTGAAGTTAAAAATGAAAGTGTATTTATATCAGTTTATGTCTGTTTTGTTGAAGGTGGTGGGAGAGTGGCGCTTCAGTCTGATCCACTGCGACATCCTGCTCACGCTGGACGTCATGATGTGCACGGCCAGCATCCTCAACCTCTGTGCCATCAGCATCGACAGGTGGATCCTTCATTTAACTTTATTCTCATATTACTCTTTAGTTTTATTATTCATTGAACGTCTAACAAACCCACACTCTTGACGTCTTTCTCTCTTTTTTTTTGTTGAGAAAAAGACAGGAATTACACCGTGATTTCCATCCAGAATGAGAACGGAAACAGCGAAGATGACAGGGAATCAATAAGTGATTTCTTAACTTTGTACTCTCCCCTAACCTTGATGTTAATTGGTGCAGTTTGGGCTACAGAAAGTACTTTGGAAATAAATCTCTCCTGCAGCTTGACAGTCACCTCACACCCTGTCACCATCTGTTTGTCTTTCAGCAGGAAGCTACAGGCTTCTCTGCGTCTTTTACAATGTCCTCTGTCCAGCCATTAGAGTGGATCAAGGAGACTGTGCTTGGTGTTTCACCTTTGTACGCCTAATGGGAAGTGACCAGACGCTCTAATTACAAAATGACACATTGACCATTGACCAGTCATTTGGTGGAATAGCAGATGATAGCGTCTAATTGCATTGTCAAAGCCGTTAACGGGGAAATATACACCGTAGTTACAAAGTTGTATCGGCTTCCTGCCCGAGCTATTTAATTCAAAACAGCTACTACAAGGTTAAAGTGCTGACAACATTGATGTGAGAGTGCTTACATCCACAACAGAACAAGAGTTTTTTGTATATGCAGAGTCCTCCAATCGTGGCTGACAGAAGGTCATTAGCATAAACCCAAATAAGGTCATTATTTCTCATTGACTGAGCTCTCATACAGTATGGTTTGACAGAAATGGGAAAGAGAATGTGACTGTGTGTAGGGATGGGCGCCGAGAACTGGTTCCAAATGGTCCAATCTGTCAGAATTATGCCTGAGGTTAATACATTACATTACATTTCATTTAGCTGACGCCTTTATCCAAAACGAGTGCATTCAACCATGAAGAAACCAACTCAAAAAAGCAAAAGTCATTACATTTTTTTTTGCGATGCTGGCATGTTTTTGTCGAGCTGCAAAACGTTGCTGCTGGAAACTTGCAAAAAGAAGCTTCTGAGTTTGGACGTAAGTCTGCAACAGTTTGATATTGCACCAGAAATGTGTGTTTACATCTCAACAAGTTCACACAGTCTGCTGAAGGGATTTAACTCGTCAGGTCAGGCCTATCACAAACATATTAACAGACTTCCTGAAACAATCATCTATTTTAAAGCTTAGTTTCATGTTTAGAGTCCTGGGTAACTCTGTGTTTTGCTCTTATTCAGAAAGACAGCTGTTCTCTTAAGTAGACTGCACAAACCTGCTCTTTAAAGTAAACGACGCTTCCTTCATCTTGACATGCTAGCAGGTGTGTTGTGTACTTGTGGCAGTGAAACAGGCCGTGACAGTTTGCATCTGAGGGGAAAACTGGCATCTGTTAGTCTGCGTTCTCTCTCAACTGCTCGAGTTTACTTTAAAATATGTGTGAACATGACGACGGGATAATAAAGTCTGAAGAAGCATCGATGTGTGTTCACTCCATGGAAAAAGGAGTTCAAATGCAGGCACCGTGACTGAGTGAGAGGGAGGCATGCTAATATGTTTTCTGTCTGCTTTTCCAATCTGTGTGTGATTGCAGATACACAGCAGTGGCCATGCCGATGCTCTACAACACCAGATACAGCTCCAGGAGGAGGGTGGCGGTGATGATTGGTGTGGTTTGGTTCCTCTCTTTTGCAATCTCCTGCCCTTTGCTGTTTGGACTAAACAACACAGGTAACAGCTTCATCTGATGCCTGCTCTCAAATCGACACCCATTTATTGATTCAACCAGGAGAAATCTCATTGAGATTAAAAAAACGATTATACAAGAGATACTGTAGGCCAAGATAGGCATAGCACAGTTACAGACAACAAATTACTAACCCTAACCCTAACCCAGGGGTCGGCAACCCGCGGCTCTTTAAGCCCTCTACTCTGGCTCCCTTGAGCTTAGACAAAAATAAGAAGGAAATAAAATAAAAATATTTGTAGGACTATTTATATTTTGTTGCACGGTTGAAAATGTTTCGTATCTTGTATTTTGAGGTGATACTGTGACACATATATATTTTTTAAAAACGGTTTTAATTAGGTCAACTCATATCGTCATATCCTGCTACGGTCCCGCACCAGCGCCTTGTCTTGCAGGTGAATAACCGGACCCCCGGCTCGATGAGCGAACTATGGATAAATCAAAGAAAAGTATCGGAGGAACACAGAGGGTTTAATTCTGCGTGGACAGAGTTATCTGCTTTCACAGCAAACGATGCTGGCTTACCGGTATGTTTGATATGTAGAGAGAAGTTGTCAAAGGTGCTGCAGCCTTTACGTATTGGAAGAACACGGAAGAGGAAGACAGCTGACGATCTTCAGTCATAATTCAATCCGTTAACTCTTTTTAGGGTGCTGCTATATGTTTTATTTATTTCAAAGTGGGTCAATTTTTATTATATTGACTCCCCAAGTGCTGTGTTGATTTATTTTAAAGTTGGCCTGTGTATTTTTTTGTATTCTCCTTATAAGAGTTCTTTGTTTATTATTAGAGGTAAACAGTTTTCTATAATGTAATAAATAATAAATGCAAAAAAACTGTAGTTTTTGTCTATGATGTAACAATATATACAACTTTATAAGCTATCAAGCTATCAAATATGTTTTGCGGCTCCAGACAAAAACAATTGGTGGAAAAGGGGGCAAAATGGCTCTTTTGGTCAAAAAGGTTGCAGACCCCTGCCCTAACCCTAACAAATTAAAAACTAAAACAGAGAACATTTTATAGTCACAATCAGAGATGTCATATTCAATGCATCTAGACAGTGGCCTGCTTCTCGGTCATTAAGAAGCACTTCTAATCTGTTAAGAGAGACCAGCCCCCTGAGTTTAAGCTCATATTGAAGCTGGTTTCAAGCAAATGGAGCAGCGTAACTAAACGCCCTTTTCCCCAGCTCAGTGTGGACTTTTGGGACAGTTAGTAAAAACAAGTCCTCGGAGCAAAGCCAATAAGTTCCCATACCTTTCTGAAGGTTTTAAATCCATACCTAAGGTGAAAGAAGACCAAGAATAGCCTTATAAATAAGGATTTGCCAATGGTTTAGTCTACGGCCGGTCAGCGCAGACCCTCCAACACGAGCATACCAGAAACAATGGTGCTTAAGGTTTGTAATACATCTCAGTGCCCCGTGGTAGACAGTATCTGGTGGCATTTAGAAGATGCATTCATATAGACAACACCACCAGGATCTAGCACAGACATAAAGGTTGCAGCGACAAGCCACTTAGTTAGATGTTGATAGCTCCGCCCCCACGGCACAGGCTAAAGCTGCGGGTGAATAGTGAGTGATGTGCATCTCTTAAATGTTGCTACCTCATGGAGTTGTGGGATGGCATTGGGATGCTCCGATGTACTCTATGTTCTATACTCTAAAAAGAAGATATGAAAAGGAAGCATTGAAGCACCTTTCATTAGCAGTTAGAGAATCGACTAGCTTTTATCAAAGCCCTTAGATACTACCTGCTCTATTAGACCCCAGCTTTAGTGCTTGGTGAAAGCCGGAGTGGCATAGCGGAAATGTCCTTATTTTCCCTTATGTAAAACTAGATAGTTTCACCCCGCCAGGCCCTTTAAATGTCCCTTCAATTTAACAATCCCAAAAAGGAAAGATGCTGATCTTAATTTGATTTGGAGATTTGGTCTTTCATGGTTTAGTCAACAGCTGTTAAGGGATGTTTACCTAACTTTGCAGTTTTCTTCATGGTCCTCTGAGGTGTTATTTAACTAACTTTCAGAAGAGCAGCATACACACTTCCTTATGCACAAATCAAGGTTCTTACGGTCATTAAAAACCTGGAAAAGTCATGGAAATTCAAAATGCAAATTCCAGGCCCTGGAAAAGTTATGGAAAACAATATTTTTCCCAAAGTTTTGGAAAAGTCATGGAAATGTAACTAAAGTTGCATCAAATATAATTTATATTTTAGCTAATCGCCGAAATAGTAATACTATAATGATAATAAATACTGTATCGTATAGTAATGAAACATAAAATGGCATTTAACTGTCGAGGTATTTAGCCTGTAGAAGCTAGTAAGCCTACTATTTGATTTGTTAGATAGGCACAACATGTTTCATATGCAGACCTTATTTTCCTGTTCCATGTTAAAATACACCATTTTCAGTGGTACCGCTGAGAAAGAGTAATTTTTTTGGTCATGGAAAATGAGGTAAAGGTCATGGAGAAGTCATTGAAAATCATTGAAAATCATTGGTGAAAAAGTGTATGAACCCTGACAAATAGACCCTACATTATCCCGATCCATCTGTCCTTGAGTTTGATGAGCAGTCTTTGATGATATGGTTAAAAATGATCCCATGCGTCTGCTCAGTCAACAATCCCTACCATCACTGACTCAGCAGATTTATATCCACAGTTTCCATAAGAACAGACAAACAGAGCATTCAATCATTTCCCCCTGTGTTGTTCTCATCGAGGGAATGACAGGCGACGTCGGTAGCATACACAATCCTCGATTCATTTGTTGTTCACAAAAGGATCAAGAGTGAAGGTAATCTTCCTGAGCTGCGAGGAGAGACTCTGAATGTGCTCTGAAAGAAGATCACTGAAGCTGAACATTTGTGAACGTTCACAGAATCAGTTTTATCAGTTCTGGGTCAAGACACAGCAAGATTCTGTATTATTAAAACATATATCCTCTGTAACAAATCGCCTAGATTACAGAACACTGTTTGAGTGTTACTTCTTGTGTTGATAATGCACTTTTCGACAATGTTTGTATTAAATTAATCACATGGCAAATGCACTCTAATAAACCGAATTTCAGTTGTTGAGAAAACAATCCACCGCACGGTCCATCTAGCAGCCGTCTTCATCAGCAGATTATTTTTAATGGAATTACAGATGTTTACATTTCCATATTTTGTTAGCGTTTTAAGGACTGCTCATCCATGCTGGTGTAAAGTATGCTGCTCAGTTTGCTTTTGGAATCAGAAACAGCAGGAGGAAAATGTTGCCCAAAGATCTCTTACTTTCAATGAACAAAAACTTGGCAAATCCAGAATGTCATGACAACGCCATCTGCAGATGAATAAAGTTTGATATGTTTTACAGCTCAAATAAGTGTCTAAATAGAGCTTTTTTTGTCCACTGCTATTACCTCAGCTTTTGGGTTGTCTTTTTTTGTAGTTCACATCAAGACATGTTGGAAAAAAAGACTAGCTTTTCATATATACATGTTAACCATTGTCATGTCATGAGATGGGCAAAAAGGGAATAAGTGTGTTTCTCATTCTATTACCTTATCATATTCCGAATTGAAACAATAAAAGAAGTTCAGTTTGGCAATACTTAAAAAAAAAAGTGAAATAATGATATGTTTTCGTAAAATGTCACTCTTTTGTCCTCCCCGCATTAGCCAACAGAGAAGGCACCTCGTGCAGCTTTGCCGACCCGGCCTTCGTGGTGTACTCCTCCGTGGCCTCCTTCTACGTCCCCTTCATCGTGACGCTGCTGGTGTATGTGCAGATCTGCGTGGTGCTGCGCAAGCGAGGCAGACGCACCGCCCCCCGGCGCAGACACGGCCTCCTCACACAGGGGGGGGGGGGCTGAGGCCGGAGACAGTCAGCGGCACAGGAAGGTAGAGACACAAGTCTGCACGTACACTGGAAAAAAAGTGTTTGGATGATGAGATTTTACAGACTTGTTGTGTTCTTCCAGACAATATTGGTATTGATAGTTGACCCTCCGGTCTGCACCATCGATTGTACCACCAAAAGAAGTCCATAACTCTCCGGTGCAGAAATATCAATTCAAAAGTTTCCAAACCTGCTTTTAATTGTTTGCCTTTCCATCCTTTGTATTTTAAAACCTCTGACGCTCTCCATCAGATATTCTGTATGAGCTTCTTTCAGCTCTTTGTTGAAGATGTACAATGTTTACACACAGGGAAATGTTTCAACTCAATTCTCAACACCATTCAGATTTAGTGATGTCTGCGGTGTTATTTTGTACGCAGTTCTTAAATCCAGTTTGAAATGTTATGTTTTTTGTTATTGTTTGGCGTCTTCTCCAATTTCAAACTAAAATATGAGTTATTTCCACAGTGGAAGATATTAAATGTCAGTAACCAACACAATCATTCGAGTAGTAGAAACAAAAGGACAAAATCAAACATTTAACAGCGAATGTGTTTCATACATTCTACTTGAAGATGATCAATATATCGGCATATTATATTATACTATATTTACTGATTCAAGCTTATTACAGATGCGAACATTTATATGTATGCTTTTGCTTAAATTGACTAGAAGGCTGAAACAAAATTGAGCCACTATTATCAAAAATGTTTATTCATGTATCACTACTACAAAAAAAGAGTGTCTGTCAATGTACTTTTTTTTTGCTATTCAAATACTGAAACTACCATTTGGGCTTTTCCGAGGAATATATTTTATTTTCTGCCTCCTTCTCTTTCAGAACAAGTGCACTCAGCCAGAGGATGTGAAGTTGTGCACTCTGATCCTGAGGCCGGACACCGCAGGCCCGCAGCGCAAGAAAGTGGTGAGTCTCAGCATCACTTTTCAGATGTTCTCATATAGCCTGGCGATGCTCTGCTTGATCCCTACTTCTCCCTTTAAAGGTCACCTATTATGCAAAATCCACTTTTTCATGTATTTTATACATAAACATGTGTCCCCTCTGTGTAAAGAGATTCTGAAAGTTTCAGGAAAAAAGCATCGCTCACTTTTTGTCCTGATCATCTGAAAATGAGCTGATCAGATTTTGGCCACTTTATGATGTCATAACGATGTTTTGGCTTGTGTAACCATTAGCCAATAACCAACCAAGGTAATCCCCCCCACCTTATCACCTGAATCTCCTCCTAGAGCTCCATTGTGTTCTTTTTAACCAAATATCTCTCAGAGGGGCGTGGGGAGGGGCTCCTTATTTTCATCTAAAGTAACAGACAGAGAATCAGCACTTTTGAAACAGGGCTGAAACAGAGGGGATTATGGGATGCTGCAATGATCTGTTTGGTATTTGGAGCCAAACACTTCAGAGACATGTTTTGTATATATCTGAGACCTATAATATATTGATGAAAAACAGTATAATAGGGGACCTTTAACATCGACTAATGTCCCATTCAATCTCCTTCGTTCCATCTTTATCAAACATCCACACCTTCTATCGTCCCCCGATGCTTACCTCCCTCACCACCCTCCCTCCTCCCTCTCTGTGTGTCAGACCCTGGTGAAGGAGGCGATGGTCCACCCCCTGGAGGTGGAGCCGGGTCGGTTTCTCCCTCAGACGGAGCAGAGCCTGGCTCCTCCCCCCGCTCCCCAATCTTCCTCCCACTCGGGCCGGGCCAGGATCTCCCTGGCCATCTCAGTCGGACCCGCCCCGGTCCTTCCCTCCACCGTGACCCGATCGGCCCTCATGCCTCGACCCCCCACCCTGGAGGACGGCATGAGGGGCCGTGAGGGGTGGAGGGAGCGCAGCAGAGCGAGAGATAAATGGGGGATCACCAAGGAGAGGGTGCGGGGGAGGCTGTCCCAGCAGAAGGAGCGGAAGGCCACGCAGATGCTCGCTATCGTGCTAGGTGAGCATCACTGTACACCATTCTATCACGGATTTAGAATACCCTGGTTGAAGGTTATTCTACCCAGAGACCCAGAAAAATATCTGATTGGTTGCATTCTTGTTCTAAAACAAAACCACTCAAATGCTTAGTGCATGGACAGAGAAGGACAAACAAATCAACGTAACACTGTAATATTACAGATCAACAACACAGATAAGATTCTCATGTATTCATTTTATTTAAATTGTATTTATATAATTCAATTCAATTTGTTGTTTGTTTTATCTGAGTGTTCCAGGGTATTCTCTGACGGTTCACCACTGCTGTACACACACACTCAGGTGTGTGTGTGTGTGTGTGTGTGTGTGTGTGTGTGTGTGTGTGTGTGTGTGTGTGTGTGTGTGTGTGTGTGTGTGTGTGTGTGTGTGTGTGTGTGTGTGTGTGTGTGTGTGTGTGTGTGTGTGTGTGTGTGTGTGTGTGTGTGTGTGTGTGTGTGTGTGTGTGTGTGTGTGTGTGTGTGTGTGTGTGTGTGTGTGTGTGTGTGTGTGTGTGTGTGTGTGTGTGCAAATAAGACCATTACAGTATGTAAGCTATTCTTCATGAACACGTATCCATGCAATATCTATACCCACAAACATGCACTTGGTAGACAGGCTCCCTGAAAACAAACAGCAAGTGCTGCTTACTTTTCTTTATCTATTTATGTTTCAGCAGTTTCATGGTTTTCTATGATATGAAATTCCAGTAGTTAGCAGGATTTTTTCTTAATTATATCCCCGTAATATGTGTTCCTCCTTTACTCCACTTCCTGTCTCGGTTTCCAAGGCGTGTTCATCATCTGCTGGCTGCCGTTCTTCCTGACCCACGTGCTGAAGGCGCACTGCAGGAGCTGCTGTATCTCGCCCTCACTGTACAGCGCCGTCACCTGGCTGGGATACCTCAACAGCGCCGTCAACCCCGTCATCTACACCACCTTCAACATCGAGTTCCGCAAAGCCTTCATCAAGATCCTGCACTGCTGAGAGCTGGAGAGATGCAGAGCGCCAACTGTCAAGATAAAAAAAACACAAACGCCTGACTTTGGTTTGAGATCAGAGGTGAGAAAGACCAGGAGACAGAAAGAGGGAGTCCTCGGTGTTGATACACAGGGAGGGGCGGGGGAGACACAATGATTTGGACGACTGATGAGCAAGCTTCCTGGGAAATGATAGACGAGACATGTGTAAGAGAAGACTGAAAAAGGACAGAAACATGGCACGGGGGGAATAAAAACAGGCAGAGCATGATCATAAAAAGAGAGTGTCTGTCAGGTGAGAGAACACACAGCGTGGGATATTTATGGAAAAGTAGACATACACTGTGTACATATTGTCTGAATATGTGAGGAGTCTGAGGACGGATCCCCCCACAGACTCAAAGACTCCGAGACGTGACTGTCGTTCCAATACTTGATTTGTTTCAGACTTTCGCTGTGCTTTCTTGTAATCTTGACAAAAGGCATCTTGTTATTTGCTTGCATGTGCTCGTCTTTCTCGGAGGACTGGAACAAGTCGATGCAAAGAAAAGAAACTACGACCATTAAAAGTTTTTTTTTTTTAATGCCAGAGGCTTGATCATTTTCCACATATTTTTAAAACCTACTGAAGTTACATCAAGAAAGAAATATTGATTTGGTGATTAAGCGTCCATACAAAAACAGCAGACAGAGACGAGAGCTGTTATCTAATTGAATGTGAAGACCTTTTTCTTTGAATGAGTGTAACATTTGGTCTTGTAAATAACTAATGTACTTGTTAAAGGGCCCATGTCATGCTTTTCTGGTTATTACCCGTCCCCTTGTGTGTTATGAAGGTTTTTATGCTTGTAAACGGTCTGCAGAGTCACAAACCCTCAAAGTACACCCTGTAGCGAGTAAAACTCTAACACAGGAAAGACCTGTCTATGCTGCCCCAAAACGCCTCGTTGGAGATTTCTCATTTTCCATTGTTTGCTTCCTGGGTTCTGTGACGTGTGAACACCCAGATCAACAACAAATGACCGGATTGGCCCAAATGGACCAATCCGCGGAGCACCTCACACACCAGGATCCCTTGGCTAACTAACAGGGAGTCCCCATTGACTTGCATAGAGCTCCCTGAACGCTGGTAATAGACGAGTTGGGATGGCGGAGAAATGCTCTCCACAGACCCATTCTCACAGCGTTATAAACCTTTTTCTTACTCAATATCAAGCCACACTTATTGTTTTTACTTCGGCTGTGAGTGTTTGTGTGTGCTCAGGATGAGTTTCGCTTGTTCTCGCTGTATCGCCGACCCGGAAACCTGTCCGCTCCTCGCAGCAGTTCGCAGCAGCGGCGAGCAGCAACAAGCCTCGCAATGTCCCGACCAATCAGAGCACAACTGGACTCACAGGGAGGGGGGTGGCAGGAGCTCCAACAAGCCGTTTAGGACAGAGAGTGAATACCTGGTGAATACACATACTTTACAGAGATGCTGTATGAGAAACCAATGTGATTTTGGAAAATTGTACAATTTAAATCTATTCTAGTAGACCTCAACAATGGAATTATGATCAGTAGAAATGGCCATGACATGGGACCTTTAAGAAGAAGTTTTGCAAGTATTGTACAAACCATTGACAGGAATAAACATTTTTATTTTATTGAGTATTTTGTTTTCCTTGCTAACTATATTCATCCCAAATGTTTTCTTACCTTAGATGCTCGGTATACATTTGAAGTTGAGTAACGTAAAATAAAGAAATATACACATCTCCAAAGAGTGCAATCATAAATGAAGTGCCACCAGCTATAAACTAAAAGCTAATTTACTGATGTTTATTTATAGGATTGTGAGGTGCATCTTACCCCCCCCCCCCCCCTCTGCAGAGGAAGAGGTAGACAAAACGCACTAAGAGCAGTTGGTATTCAGATCGAACTCCACATGCACACGGAGGATTTCAGATGAGCCTTCTTTTATTTAAAGCCTACGTCAATATGGTGGGAAATTTCACCATCGGCTTTTCCCCTGTTTATACTGAGATTTGAAGATGGAGAGTGCGTGTTTGTACATATAATTTACCAAAAGTTTGAAGGGAGTTTCAAAGATTATTTGGCCCCTTTTCTCCTTGAACATCTTTTTAAAAATCATACCTCAAAACACAATTGTGTTAATTGTATTGACTCTTGTTTGTACGGTGAAACCTATCAATGATATCGATTGGATTTCAGAAAGGCAAAACACAGTCTGTGGTACAAAGGAATAGTTAAACATCTGAGTGAAATGAGTAGATCGTTACCACTATTATATATTAAAAACAATATGAAGCCAGGAGATGCTTGGCTTACGTTCTCATCAAGTCTCTAAAAAGGGTAACATTTAGCTTTTCTCTCTTTGAAGGTATCTGGAAACATCTGCCATTACAGAAACGTAGAGGTATGTCTAGGTGACAGATGTAAAAAGATTAGAATAAAACTACAACTTGTGTCATTGCATTCATTTTCATCAGCCGAATGCTACAGTCACAACACATTTCAAGTGCCAGAAAAGTTGGACTGCCGCAGGAAAGGATATAAAAGTTTGGTGAAGTGTCTGTGACTGATGGCTCCCTGACAGTAACACCTCTGTCCTGTCAGTAAACTTATTTTAAGTTCACCTTAGGGGCTAATGTGGGAAAGCTGAACCACAGCCACGTCTCTCCTTTCCTGAGTTATAATATAAGTAGGAAGCTGCAGAGCTGTGTGTATCTGAGGCGTCAGACCCATGCGAGTTGCCAGTCATCCTGATTGAAGTAAACAAGGTCTCTGACACCAATATGGGAGCAAATGAAGGCTGCTCGCTTTATTTATTCATTCATTCAGTCAGTGTCATGTTCAGATGGAGAGGGTGCAACTCCATGCCCGCGTTATAAACAACAAGCAGGCAAATCTCATTTTGAAAACTTCAGCGGAGGAATGTTTGTGGAACTATATTATAGACGGTACTGTCCTGCATGAAAACAAAAACATTTGACATTGTGAACAACAGCTCAGGAAATGGTTTAGCATGAGTGAAAACACAGAGATTGCATATAAAGTGGATATATAAATATATTGTTTACAATGCAGGACTTTTACAAAAGAGAAAGCTAGAAATAAGATAAGATTAGTTTGTACGAATCTTTCAGTTGGAGACATGTTCGTTTGCTGTTTTATTTTTCGCCTGTGGCATGTTTTTATATTTGCTGATCTAATTTGCTTAACACTTTGTACAGACATTCATGTTCCTCAGAGGATGAACCATTCTGATTCTGATGATCCTCTGCCTTTTCCTACACAATCATACGTTTATATTTGTCATTTTAAAGGAAGTTTATCACTAATCTTTGTGTGAATTGCCAAGAAATGTGGTTCAAACATTCATGTTCTCCTCAAGGATCGGACCCCCTTTAACTTTTTCTTTCACATGCCATTTGCAGGTCAAACTGTTGTCTTTTGTCTCTTTGATTCATTCTTTCCAAGACACGTGTCCACAATAACTTATTATTACTTTCCCCATAAGCCTTAGCTGTACTTTTGTCTGGTGCCATGAAGCTAATGTTAGCATGCTAACACAGAAAGCTAAGACGGTGAACATTGTCAAAAATAAACCTTTGACCATAAAACCATCATTATCGTTAGCATGTCTAACTTCTTCATTTTGTACAATGTTTTTTGTTGGTTCTTATATTGATTATACAATTTAAAATATGTTCGGTATATAGAATGAGATTTTGGTTTTATTTGTATTTAGTTTGTGACACTTCACCTTACTGTTTGTTGTATTTCTTTGCCATACAGTATTATTGTTCAAGGTTTTTTTTGGTTGCTTTATGAGAAATACTATAATTTTTTTTGTAAATGATATATGTTTTGCCCCATGATCTCCATACCGAAGAAGCAGTGACATGTGCGTCAACAGGTGATGCAGTCATGTCTCCTCCGCCATGTTTGATCTCTGAAATGAACTCCTAAGTGTAACCTATAATAAGATGCTGAGTAACACCACGACTTGGGTTCCTTATTACAGCCGGCACCTCACACTGACTGAGGCTGTAACATGATAAAACGAACAAAATACTCCGGACTGGACACACGCACGCACACACACACACACACACACACACACACACACACACACACACTCTCGTACACCCAATTACGCCTTCTTAGATTCATAATAGGGCCATGATTATTGGATACATATCTTTCAACTGAGAAATTCAACTCCTTGACTCTGAATGTGTGTCTGTCCGTGCTGCCATTATGTCCCTCAGTACTTGTGAGTGGAAACAACTCATTGGCCTGGTGTACATTACCCTCTGTTATTAAACTCTGACCAAGCCCACAATTATCCCCATGCATATTTCATAGACCCCCGATGACAAGAGTGCAAGTATCCGTTACTGACCCGACTGCTTTAGCTTCGCCTGACCAGAGGAGCAAGATTAAGTGAGAGAGGGAAGAAGAGTAGATTGGAAGAGGAAGATGATGAAGGGGGTGACAAAAACGGGATTAAGTGGTAACTGAAGAGAGGAGGAGGAGAGCGGTTGAATCACAAGAAAAGAGGTGCCACACTGCTGAAACTTGTGCTCTCTGGAGATGATGGATTCACTGTAACGGAGCACTTATCTTTGGATAAAAGATGCACCGGAGCAAGCAGTCGTCTTCTGTGTTTTGTCACTGACGGTGTGGCAGTGATGCATTTCTTATCCCTACTATGATATAAGGCCAGTTTAATAACTGTGGAGGAGACACAGACTCGGATGAAAAACCTAACGCATACTAATGAGGTTGACACGTGCAAATCTGTACGGCTGACATTCAGGTGAGAGCGCTTGAAACATGTTAATAATACACGGATGAGATGTACAGATGTGATGGAAGGTGTATTTGACTGAACATTGTATGCAGATGGCCTTTCTTGGCGTTATTTCGAATCGATGGAGGTTAAAACTGCCTTTGTAATATATCTCATAATTCTTAGGCGAATACTTTAGGTGGCCTTATTTTACACTTCCTTTGCTTTTAGATTAATGTCTTCCTCAGAGCAAGCTTTTTTATCATTTGGATCTAGTCGTAGTCTTTTGGGAAATTTATTTTTATTACGCCTCACAATTTAACCCAGTTTAATCACATAGAACAAATCTGACATTTGCTTGAACAGAAGCCTCTCACAAAAATAGTTTTGAGTAATGCGAGATAATAATATGAACTTATAAAAGGCCTAGTCTATAATAAAGAATATCAGTGCTCTCATCATCAAATTAATCACAGAAGCCTTATTCAAAGCTCATGATCTGTTTGTTTTTCTTGCAGTTTTCTACAGGAGAGGAGGTTTCAGGTCTTCCTCCCGTGTCCCTCCCCTCAGCTCACCCATGCCTGAAATCCATCAGATCTTATCCAGACCGACACATGTGAACTGCTAATCCGACCTCACAAGCTAAACACTATCACGCCAAAGAAAATGAACCCGGACTTTAAACAGACCGAGCATTTCATGACAGCCACCAGCGACTTCACAAGTATGGATTTTGAGGTCCAAACAACCAGCACCAGCTTTTCTGAAGCCCAGCAGCCAGTTGTTGCTTCCATCCATCTACCCCTTGAGCTCTGGGCATCAACTTCTTTTCAAAGTCCGACAAGTCATGAAGTATTGAGTGTTTCGTCTCTGGTCCCTTCTACAGTCATCACACTCCTGCCTCAGATTGAGCCCTCAGTTCGGGGAAACTTATATCCAGAGCTTCCATCTTTTGATGATGCAACATCACAGCCTCAGCTTCCAGGAACTTCATCTTCTCTGTCTGGTTCCTCAGAGGCCACAGATCAGAAAACCGTGCCCTCACCACTTCCTTGTAGTGATAATTCCCAGGGAGTTCAGCAGAGGAAGCCATCAGATGCAGGCCCAGTGGAGGAGGGATCAGTAGGACTCATTTTACCCAAAGATCTTACTGATGAAAAGCAAGGTATGTTAACAATCAAGAGTTTAATGTGGAGTCCCTATGAGGCCTAACATGGCTTCGAACCAACACCATCCAAACCCTCGCAGCATTTAAAAAACCTGAACCATTTCACAGCCTACTATAATTCAACTGTTATTTGCTTTGCCTGTAAAAGTTGTTAAAAACACTTTTGCTCTATTTTCTGTTATGATCCTATTGATACAGTTTCGCCTGTATAAGCTTTATTTTCACACACTACATGACTTACAAGCAAGATAAATCATTGCTAGGTTCCCCATTGTTTCCATTGTGCATTCCCTTCTGGAAACATTTTCAATTTCTTCTTGTAAGACGTTTTTCAGCCACTCCAAAGAATGCACCCTTGACCTATTGTTTCCACAAAATAACAGAGCCATCCATGTGTTTCTGGCTCCAATTCCCCCCTTCTTTTTCAGAGTGGTTTCTTATCAGCTTTTAGAAGAGATAGATACAAAAGCATTTCTCAGAGTTCACAAAAACAGTGCTGAAGGAGCTGTTTATAGCCTCAGTAACAACATCATAATGTCTGAGAAGGCTTGTGTGCAATCAATTGTATTGCCATTCGACTTCAAAATGTCCTTTGATATGATTGGTCACAGTATAAAGGACTCTCATTTCTTGAACCCTCCTAGATTGGATTGGATTACATTGTAAAACAAAAAAACCACAATTGATTATCTGCTGGTGAAAATGTTGCATCATTTCCCAGAGGACCTGTGATATCGATTACCCCCCTCCCCTCTGGTGTATTCAATCATATGTCTTTATAAGTGTGCATTTTTTCCGATGCCATGTCCGCCATGTTCCCACAATTTGATCTATTTATTGAAAGCTAATAATAGTCACTCGATGCAAGAATAATTGTCCTGCAATTATACCTTTAGATAGGAAAGGACACATGCCATTCAGTAAAGCAAAGTACCATGCAGCAAGTTCTTAACATATATGTGTTCTTCTTAAAACTCTGTTCTCATCCAATCTGTTCATTGCTTCATGATTTTTAATGAAGAATGTAATGCTTTAATCACATAGTTTCTTATTTGTCTCGGCTTGAGGCACAAAGTGAAGGATAGCTCATCAGCCTATCCTCTATCTTAGTGTTTGTCTACCTTTATTTAGTTTAGTACATATTATATTATACTCATATTATACAATGTGTCACAGTTTAGATGGAGCGTCAAACTGATATGAGTTATACAAGGAAAATATATATGGTCGAAGAAGCATAAATTACCTCGCAGAGTTCACGATTGACTTACCTTAACATTTGTCACAACATCATCCCCGCTGCCGAGACGCTTTTATCCTAATCTAGTGGGAGTTTGTACATTACGCCAACGCTCTTCCGCTCGAGGGGGGCTGTCAGTCAAGCATAGCATTGATTTCAACACTCCTTACCTACAGGGCTTTGCATGCAGCTCATGCTTTACCTCATATTATGATATGCTCTGTCCTCAATTCAACCACGTCCTCTTGACGGAGACTTTTCAAGATCAAGCTTTTAACTGTGACCCTTTGGAAGATTGTGTCTAAACGCTGGACTGATCGGCTCAGTCTGTTCTTTAAAAAAAAGAATGTAATCAAATGTCTCAGTCTGTTGTTTTGAGAAGTTACTTTCACCACACCTTTTCTGTCAGGTGTTTCATTTTCTCTGTCTTGCTGTTATTAATACAGTTCATTGTGTGCGCTTTATAAGTAATGTTAACCCTCTATTAGCAGGAACTGTTCCAAATTATACAATTATTTAAAGTGGCTATAATTAATTAGGAAACTCTGCCTCTCCCCTTGGCTCTATGGAGTGTCAACTCATTGTTAAGCTGTCTGATCAATACATGTACTTACCAGATACTTCTTCTAGGAGTTGGTAGAGACAATAAATGATATTTCATTGCTACAAAACAAATGGCTGAATCAAAAACCCATCCTTGATTGAGCAGCATGTTTTTGGAAGTCGTTGTGCAGTACTCCTCCTTCCTTACCAGAGTTTCAAGGTTACGAGCACAAGTCATTCAAGGATTCTAAGGTTTTATTTGTCATCTGCAGAATAGCAACAGAGTTGTTTTGGCAATCAAAATCTCAAGTCCCAGGCTCCTCCAACAATGCAACAAACAATACGCTTAACATATAAAAGAAAAAGACTCAAAATAGTGCCATTAAAACCTTAATTTATTTGATAAATGGTTTCTGCTTGACAATCTTTGTTTTAGAAATAAAGAAATGAGCATGGTTTTCTTGAAGCTTGTGTAGTTCATTTGCATTTAAAGCTACAGACACAGAATCAGCACTTTTGAAACAGGGCTGAAACAGAGGGGATTATGAGATGCTACAATGCACGATCTGTTTGGTATTTTGAGCCAAACACTTCAGAGACATGTTTTGTATATATCCGAGACCTATAATACATTGTTGAAAAAGAGTATAATAGGGGACCTTTAAAGATTTATCTCTTTGTCCATTTATCTTTTTACAGATTCAGCCCCTCAAGCCTGTTCGTCTCGTGAGCTTCTACTGATCGTGATCTTCCCCATCATCATCATCAAACTGCTCATCACCTCTGCTCTCTTAGGTAACGTACTTCAAATTAAATAATGAGAAAATATGGGTTGAATGTGTCAGTTAATGTGTCCTCTTGGAAGCACTATCTTGAAAATTGAAATTATTTATTGGAAAAACCATCAAAAGTCTTTGTGGGGTGAAAAAAAACTGCTTAGTCCATACATTGTGTCTTTATTTATAGACTCAGGGGTAATTCAGGGAATGTGTTTAATGGGAGTTTTGATAATTGGAGTTCTGGGACAGTTTAATGATATAATGTCCAGGATACCTTTTCTTATCATGTCACTGTTGATCTTCTCTCTTGAAATCAGTCAAGTTCCTGGTGTTCCCCTCTGAGTTAAGTGAACCGCCTCCATGTGGCTTAAAAGGAAACTGCAGTGTCCCAACTCAGCCTTATCTGTCTAAGAATCCATTGAACCAGACAGATAACATCACTGCAGGTACAAAATAATATATATTACACTGATTAAATGCTGTGGGGATTATAGTTTTAACGACATTCTTTATCCTCTGCAAATACATTTTGGACAGGAGATAATTGCGCATTTGTCAGCTTTTTGGCATTTATGTCCATTGTTTTATTAGTCTTATTATGGAAGGGGCATTCCTGCAATATTACTATAGTAATTCACTATAGTAGATTAATATGCTTCTGTTGAATTCAACTATGTTAAGAAGACTGGGAACATTACGTCTTTGGCTCTTTTCACATTGCATACATCCATTCTTTTCTTCCTAGATTGCACCGTTCTGGTCAGTGATGGCCGGCGTATTGTTGGGGGGGCGTTGGCGGCCAAGGAAAAGTGGGTGTGGCAGGTCAGCATGCAATGGAGAGGAACACACGTCTGTGGAGGGGCCATCGTCTCCCCTCGCTGGGTCATCACTGCAGCTCACTGCTTTGTTGAGTAAGAGGTGGACACGGGACGGTGGTAGGAGAGATTGGGAAACTCAGTGTTAGGTATCCAGGTGGTGCTACATCCTGTCTGCAAGTATACAGTCCTCAGTAGGGAGGGATGAACTCAAGACCAGATTACTCAAGCCTGTCTAATCAAGTAAACAGCATGTGCAAGAGAAATTGAGGGCATTTCAATTCCCCACCAGTGAATTTTGCACAATTTGCACCAAGAATAGAGTGGTTTAAACATTACAGTGCTTTCTGCAGGGGATTAAAAGCACCAGTTCAAATCGTGGGTAGTTCATTCAAATGTTTGTACTGAAGCAAATGCAAAGAATTAGTGACCAAAACTGAGTGCAGTTTGGGTATGACTGGACAGTAACTTTGATTAACATGGCTGTAATTGGCAGTTATACAAAGTCATTCCCATATCGTATTAATATTTAAAGCAACATTCATTCATCCATCCATTGGTTGTCAACTGTACATTTTTTGGGCAATTCTTTCTGTAATTAATTAATTGGCCTTTTTTTTTGGAAACATTACAAAAAAATAGGAATGACAAAAACATATAGTGTTTTGGGCTCACTCCCTTTGTGCCAATATCACAAGCAACAAGAAAGGCATGATTTCAGTTGTTTGTCTTGGCCAACTGCCAACAACAACCAGCAGTATCAAGACCAGAGAAAAACAGCACCAGCACACTCTCCCAGTATAAAGACAGAAATCGATCGTTGCACACTGGGGACACTTTATTTGACCTCAGAATATAAACGTCCATGTCTTTGTTCTTTTTCTGCAGGAACAACATGCTGGAAGTGTCTGACTGGCTGGTGGTGGTGGACACAGTCAGCATTGCAGACGTCTCTCTTGGGGAACGTTACAGAGCTCTGCAGGTTCTTTATCACCCTCAGTTCAACACATTTAACAACGACTATGATGTGGGCCTGCTGCGCACCATCACTGACATGGACATGAGAGGTGAGAGAAGAAGACTTCTAATGTAGGCAGTGCAAAAACACACCATGTTTGTATCTCTCAAATACTGTAGGCAACATGTCTAAAATAGGTCTTGTTGGCAAGAAAGGTTTTAATTCATATAATGTCTTGAATTTATGTTATAAGCCAAATGAGGCAGTTAAGGCTACTGAAGTGCCATACCCTTTAATAGTCTGACTTTACGGCTCAGAGTACACAGTAAAATCCGGAGTGTTAATTTAACACTCTGTAGATAAGGACCATATATTGGCTCAGTGTTAAAATTGACTCTTTAAGTGTTAAATTAACACTTAAAGGGAGGGATTAACACGCTTTAAGTGTTAAATTAACACTTAAAGAGTCAATTTCAGTGAACATATGGTCCTTATCTACAGTGTTAAATGAACACTCCGGATTTGACTGTGTACTCAGTTTATTGCATGCTGTATTGGGTATTAACATTCTTTTCCCCCCCCCCCATAAATAAATACAATTACAATTAAGGTAGAGTACCTCACCAACTTCCTTAAGATAGCTAGTTGCTTATTTTCTTCTAAAAGAATCTTCCATAAAAAACATACTGTATGTTAAGGCTATCATTGAAAGAATTAACTACTCATGTTATTGTTTGCTAATTGTTTTCACCTTGAAATGGATGTGGCCTGAAAATGTGCACTACCTCGTGGTGACATGTGCTCACATCACTTTGTTCGCCATCAATACATTTAGCTAAATACAACATTACATTTTACAGTAATTTGACAAGTCACCGTTTTTTTTAAGTAGAAATTCTTCAAAAGGAACCTTGATACTAGTTAAATTGAACATTTAAACTTCCACAAACTATCTTTATACAGGTTTCAAATGAAAGTGAATTTAAAACACATAAATACAACCAATCTGTGTTGATAAATCATTTGCAACACTATTTGTGTGTTATGAAATATTGTACAGTCTAGCTAGCAATACTAACAGTATAACACTTTTTAAAGCCCAGTTTAAAACAGTTGCTATAATAATATGACATACTTTTAAAAATATAAAGAGACGTTTTACAGGGATTTGAGATTATATGGGCCAACAACCGCCATACAAGTGATAACCTTTGTATCTTTATTACTTTCCTTATAAATCAAAGATTATGTAACACTCTGATAACTGTGTGTTGTTTGCAGCTGGGGTGCGACCGGTCTGTTTACCCAGTCCGAGCGAGTCCTTTCCTCCTGGAGCGGCCTGTTGGATCACAGGCTGGGGACATATTCATGAGGGAGGTGTGTTACACTGACATGAACATTGTGGTAACTTACTACTATCAAAATATACTCTCAACTGACACCCTATGGGAATGTTGTAGGCACTGATGAAGCTCAACGACTTAAATTAGTTATCTTTAGTTAGCAGGGCAAACAAAAGTACCATGTGGGGGAAATGTTGTCAAAAGCCACTTTAGATGCAGTTTCCTTCTTGCTACGAGAAGTTTTGATAAAAAGATTCTTGAGAAGAAAGTTGTATTTAAATGATGACATAATTAGAAAAGCAGACTTCATTCTTGCAATTTCCTTGTGGCATTTGAACGCTTGAAGCAGCTTTGTTAATGAGCGCGCTGCTAGCTGGCGGCAGTCTGTTTGAATAATCACCCAGAAATAATAGACATTTTCTTTGCCTCCCTTTGTTTGACAAACTCGCATCACAGTCACTGCCTAGTTTTTAATAACTATTTCTCTTCTTTCTGCTCTCTGTCAGGCTTTGTGTCAGATGAGCTAAGGCAGGCCCAGGTCAAAGTCATAGCTCAACCGGTCTGTTCCCACCCGAGCGCCTATGGTAATTACCTAACTCCTCAGATGATTTGTGCTGGCACCATGGACGGAGGAGTGGACTCCTGTCAGGTACTTACCCTGTGGATAACATATACATATACACCTAGAGGAAACAGGTTGATGAAGAACATCTTTTACTTTACAATACATCGCCCGAACTTGCACCACTTCATACGCCATTTAATGTGCAAGCATTGTTCAAACTTAAGCGTAAAATGTTGGATAAATGGTTATGTCCTGTTTGAAGGGGGACAGTGGTGGGCCCCTGGTGTGTGAGACAGCCAGTGGGGACTGGAGGCTGGCAGGCGTGGTGAGCTGGGGAGAGGGCTGCGGACGACGCAACAAACCAGGCGTCTACAGCAGAGTAACCGAACTGATCCCCTGGGTTAAAGGACATATAGAGGTACTCTGTAAAGTGATGTCTCTCACTGTATAAATGTATCCTGTAAGTCAAACTTTGTTAAATGTTTGTATAATTTAGTTAAAGCTGTGTCAAATAGATTGGATTTTGTATGTGCGGCTCTCAGTTTTCATATGAAAAGCACATCAGCCTGGAAAACAATGTTTAACAAGCAACATTTATTGTTTTATGTTGACCCGTGAAGTCAGGATGGAGAGCAATTTAAATATTTATTGTTTATTATCTGTGCTACCATAAAGCAGGAAATAGGGATAACAGTATCACCTCATAACTCTTTTGATTGTCATATAAACAATAAAACCATATATTTTATGTGCTCCTCCATGATAGTTTGATGCTCAAGTGGCAAAAGAAAAAAGTTTCCTTCGTAACAAATAATGAGACTGTTAATAAACAAACAGTAAACACATGTATTGGCCCAGTAAGGCATATATGGAGAGAGGCAGATCATACACAATTTCTTTATGGCAATATATAAAACTATATTTTAGGTTGATGCTGCATTTTCACTTCTCTATTTGTTGACACAGGACAAACCAGAAGAATTGGAGGAGACCATCACAGCCATTACCGACACCTCACAGAAACCGGACTCTTATAACTTGCAATAAAAAAGCAAATCTCCTGTATCACTGTGATTATTTGGAATGATAAAAATTACAAACAAAACAATGATATTCTGGTAATAGGCTTTGAACGTTTCCCACTCAGTACTGATCTTGTCCATAATTCTTTAACAAACAATCACCACCTTTAAGGGATCCTTACTAAAAAATAAAAAAAAACACAACTATGCATCAAGGTCAAGTAATTTATTCATCATTTTCACAACAATTACAGTTGTATGCAATGACAATCCTGGATTTGAGGATGATGATGATAATCTACAGACAAAAATATATCATGCAAGTAAAAGCAAAAAGGTAGACAAAGGCCTAAATGAGTGCAAGTTAAAGAAAACGCATAGGGCTTAAATGTAAACACAAACATGATTTAAAATAATATATAATATACATTTGTGGTATACAGTATTTAAAATGAATAAACTAAATGTAAACAGGAGTGTTAATGTATAGGCATACTGAGAGGTCATTATTGGGAGGTCCTAATTGCATAAAGGTGTACACAGATAAAGTAAGAAAAGCTAAATGTTATCAGTTTAAGTGATCAACTCTAAAATTGTAATGCTGGTATTTGGCTAAAAAAAAACACTGTATTATTTGGCAGTATACTAAAAAGCCTTCGTTGATGAGAATATGCCTTTATAAAAATGTGTTCTTTTTTAAAGGTCCCCTATTATACTGTTTTTCATCAATATATTATAGGTCTCAGATATATACAAAACATGTCTCTGAAGTGTTTGGCTCCAAATACCAAACAGATCATTGCAGCTTCCCATAATCCCCTCTGTTTCAGCCCTGTTTCAAAAGTGCTGATTCTCTGTCTGTTACTTTAGATGAAAATAAGGAGCCACTCCCCACGCCCCTCTGAGAGATATTTGGTTAAAAAGAACACAATTGCGCTCAATACAAATTCTGAAGTTTTTGCCAATCCGATGAGACATTTTTGAAAACCGTGGATTTTTGGATCTTCAAAGAGCCCGATTACGATGGCCAGTCAGGCAAACAATTACATTAAATAATTTGAAATCGACAATCGGGCTCGATATATGGTTAAATTAAAATCAGTAGGCGAGGCTGTAATTTCGCCAGCTGTTACTCTCATGAGCGAGGTGGAAAATAATTGTTTTATCATGCCAAAAAGCTGCTGTGTCGTTTATTGCACCTCAAACATTAAAACAAATCCAGAGTTCAGTGTTTCTGTACTTCCTCTAAGAAAAAAGGACAGTAACGGCCCCTCCACACAGCAGCGTTAAAAAAATCTTCCAACGCTTCTGCCCATTCACTTTGAATGGGGTGACGTCACTTTGCCTCACTTTTCGCCGAACTGCATTGTGGGAAGCAGCGCGGAGATTTCCAGGCATCTCAGGATTCAAAAGTTGAGCAATGTTCAACTTTTGAAGCTGAGGTGGAAGCATCAGCCAATCAAATCCCGTTTATGCAAATCTGACAGTACAAGCGCTAGCGTGTATGCTGGGAGAGACATACCGCAGGTCATTTCCTCATATTCCAAAAAATGGAGCAGAAATTAATTATAGCGGTAGGGAATCACCCGGTGCTTTATGACCAGTCCCTATTTACCTACCGGGATACAAACCGGAGGAGCCAGGCATGGAGGGAGGTGGCAGAGACAGTGGTAGGTTTTCGCCTGTTTGGGGAGTTTATATCCAGTTTACTTCGGGCTTTTTTGCTTTGTATGTCGGGGGCGGGAGATTCATGTGATTGGTTGTTGGTCGCAAAAAATCCCCAAGCTTCAGATACGCCCACCTCCAAGATTTTTTTAATGCTGCTGTGTGGACGCTCCATCAAAGAAGAGCTCTGTGGCTTCAGGCTTGATCGCCATTCAAATGACAGCGTTGGTTTCCCCAAAAGGTGGGCGGGGCCGTAAAGTGACGTAGATGTCACTCATCTATGGACATCGATCGCCTACTGCTATATTTAACCATATATCGAGCCCGATCGTCGATTTCCAATGATTTAATGTAATTGTTTGCCTGTCTGGCCATTGTAATCGGGCTCTTTGCAGATTCAAAAATCCACGGTTTTCTTACATTTCTGATCGGATTGGCAAAAACTTCAGAATTTGCATTGACCGCCATTCAAATTACAGCTTTGTTTTCCCCCAAAAGTGGGCGGAGCCGTACTTTTTGCCCAGAAGTGACGCATGTGTTCACTCTCATGTATAGGTGACCTTTAATATGCTTTAAAGTTGTTGTTTTTTATTTGTAATTATTATTTAACTAAGGTGTTTTGTATTCTCTAAATCATGTAATCATGGTCCTGGACCGCACAATTAAATTAAATGGAAAAAAACTAGTATGTCAGGTCATGTCAGGTCATGTCAGGTGACAGCATTAATGGCTGCACGTTAACGATCGTAACCAGTTTTGTTTTGGGTTATGAGACTTCCTGATAAAAGTATGCCAACACAGTCACGTAGGCCACCGCTGCAGACGACTATATGTGGCGTGTGGGTGCATGCCTTTGTGAGCATGCATGGCTGATTATTGTGCACTGCAATAGACCGACATGACCTGACTTTGCAGACTGTAGGTAATTTGTATCTAATCTGGGTGTGGAGGAGGAAGAAGGACCTGCTGAACTGTAGAGGACTAACCCACATTGCTCAGTAACAACAAACATTGGTTATGGCCCCAGTTACAGCTGCTGTAAAAGTTATTGACTATGCAGCACCAATATTGTCTCTGGGTTACTTCCAAGGTGAGAGACAAGCTTTCAAACGACTTTGAGCTTTTGAGTTTTCTTGGCTCGAGGATAAAGCGGCTACAGCCTCACAGCCTATCGGATTATTTCAAATACATGAATGTCCTCCTTGAGATAATCATCGGGTTAAGCAGTCAGAAAAAATAACCGGCGAATAACAATGTGCTCGGTAATAAGCAGAGTGAAACCAGTCCAACGGGCTCTGGCTCTCACGCTCCGCCTCAGAGCAATCACCGAGGGTTCGAGTTACGCAGCGGCCGAGATTAGGCGCTTCTGTCCCGGCTTGAGTGCTGTCACCGACCCGCTAAGAGCTACCAGCAGATCATACTGCTCCAGGATGGCGCTGACCGAAGGACTGCTGTTCAGACAAGTACGGTATTATAAATATAACTTTGCATTGTTGTTCTTCAGTAAATAGTTTTTTTATCAAGTAGGCCTAAAGGGTTTTAAATGCAATGTTTGTTTTTGTAGCTAAAGGAAGGGAGCTAGGTGGAGTTAGCTCGCTGTTAGCTCCATTATCTTGCTGATAGCTCCATTATCTTGCTGATACCCCTTTTGCATTCAATGTATTAAAATGGAGCCAAACTTTACGATCATGTCTGTGGAGGGTTGTAGGGACATAGCTAAATTTGACTTCTCTAATGTGCTCAAAATGTTGCAATAACGTTGCAAACTTGATGGACTGTACTGTAATGTAAAGCCAATGGTTCTAACATAATAACACAGCAGTGGACATGAAGGTGTGCCTGCTGTCCAGCCTAATTCAGAGAGAGTTACAGCAGAGGACAGATAACTTTTGGAGTTGTTACTGTAATCATTTACCTTGTATGCAGCTAGTTGACAAAACAATCTCAACTTAATGTCACGTTCAAAAGCTCCAGACAGTGCTAAAAGAAGTATTCAGATCCTTGCATTAGTACACATACTAATACCACACAATGAAAATATTCCTGTACAAGTAAAAGTCCTGCCTTCAAAACTTAAAGTTATGGAAGTATTATCACTAACGTAGATATTTGGCAGCAAAATGTTACCTGTCAATGTTTTACCATTATATATGATGATTAATAATACTGCTGCCTTATATATTGATTTTGTGATAAGGTGCTTCTTTATATGCTTTTGGGTAGTTTAATTTTAGCATATAAAATGGTCAGATGCTGCCTCACTCTCCTATGAGAACCACATGACACTAAAAACTTTGCGTGAGCAAAAAAAAAGCAGTTACAAACCATTCTCAAGCTGATCCAAGAAGGTTTTTAAATAGTCACCTAAAAAGTATGATCATTTTCTCAACCCATTAAGGTTTAGTTCATCACAAACATTCAAGATCAACTTATCTGGAGATACGTGGTTTTCACTGGACTGGATAGGTATGAAAACTGTAATCTAATGAGTAACTAAAGCTATCAGACTATTGATACAAATGAGACTATTGGTGATAGTGGATTCAAAAAGAACAATATTTCTCTCTTAGATCTAGTGGATTAAAAGATAGAAGTTGAATAAAATGTAAATACTCAGTACAAACTTGAGTACAATTAAGTACTCTGGATAAAGCAAATTTATGATTGCTTTGTCAAGTTGATATTTTTCGTTTTTTTAATATACAGCATGTGTCATTTAGTTCCAAATACTAAATATCTATCTATCACTAATACTTCTAACTTTCCAACTACTTCAAAACCTCACTTTGCATTGTCAACAAGTAACTTTACATCATAATCTGTTCTTCCTGTAGTTCTTTCTCGCTATCTCCCACATCTCGGCACACACTATGTGGAGAACGTGCATCATTACCACTCATTCTTTGTAAAGATTTGCTGAGTCACTCCTGTGTCATAACCTTACCCTTTTCCTGTTTAGTTGTTTGAATCAGAGAGCAGCACTTACACCTACTTGCTGGCAGACACAGAGACCAAGGAGGCAGTCCTCATCGATCCTGTACTGGAGACTATCGACAGGGACCTGAAGCTCATACATGAACTGGGACTCAATCTAAAAGTGGCAGGTACCTTAACTTTCTGAGGCTGGGCTAAGAGATATGGTGTTATTTCATAGATTCCAACTCATTTTCAATATGTGGTGTCCCATCATGTCATTGAGCATAAAAAACCTCTCTTTTAGTATGTGTTTATTTAAATATATACATTAACACTGAACATAATCCTATGAGGTATGTTGCAGCAATATACTCAAGGATAATGCAACCCTTTTACTGGAGCAGTAAGCTGTAGGGAACGTTTTTCTAGATCATTTTGCTTATTCCGCAAAGTAAGGAGGAACTTTGCTCAAGAAAATGGTTATTATCACGTGGAATAACTTCACCTACAATCTGGATGCTCAAAGTGAACCTCACTTTTCCTAAAACTAAAACTGTAAACTCAGATAAGCCAGGCGCCTTGTACTCTGTAGATTCTGGGTTACTCATGTCAAAACATCTGAACTGTAAATTGGTTGCACTCCAAAATTAAATTGGATTTTTCCTTTCCCCATGCATCCCCATTCTGCTAAGTTTAATGAGCATCGGGACAGTGCTTCTTTCTGTAATCCTGTTGACAAACTGAACCTAAAAACATAACCTCCTGAAAAGGTAGTAATGTATACCGCAGACTTGTATTCAAGGTATTCATGATTTTATTGCCAAACCCTGTGGAAGCCTTTTACTATTTTCTTTTTTCTGATAGTAAACACCCACTGCCATGCGGACCACATCACAAGCACTGGGCTGATGAAGAAAAGATTGGTTGGGCTGAAGAGTGCAATCTCCAAATACAGTGGTGCCTCTGCAGACATGCTCCTGTCAGAGGGAGACAAGATCTCCTTTGGAAAACATGTGAGAAGAATTTATTACTTTTTTCCTTGCATGGAATCAGTGCAAAACAATCTTAATAACAAATAGAATGAAAGAGGATTGATTGCTTGTAGTGTTGTGCATTTTTCAGTATTTTGTATCTTGATTTGATCTGTATCAGTATTCTGGATATTGTATTTTGGATATGCATCATCTGTTTCTCTGTAAAGAACTGTACCTTTTTGTTTAAAATGGCTTGATAAACAAATGTTCACATGCCTTTGTCTCTTCTCCCGCTGTAGTATCTGACAGTGAGAGACACACCAGGACACACTGATGGCTGCATGTTGCTGGTGTCTGGCGATCAGAGCATGGCTTTTACTGGAGACGCTCTGCTCATCAGAGGCTGTGGCAGGACAGACTTTCAGCAGGGTAGACATACACTTTTTCTTATAAAATCATAAAATTGCAAATTGTTTTCCCCGCACACTGGTCAAAAGAGAAAGCAGTTATTGTTGTAATACTTATAGATGAACACAAGAGGTCAGTATTGTGACTGTTTTATTTTGGAGTTGCTTTCATCTTTGCAAATTGTTGTTTCTAATTCAGGCTGTGCGAAGAAGCTCTATGAATCAGTCCATCAGAAGATCTTCACTCTGCCAGACCAGTGCCTCGTCTACCCAGCACATGACTACTTAGGTTAGATGAAAAACACACATCTGAAGGTTTTTATCACATCTCATACTGTAGAGTCACTGGTTATGAACATTTACAGCAGAACCTGCATACTTTTCAAAGCTTTTGCCAGTATATTCAAACCTGTAGCAATCAGTACTGATTTGGTAGACACAGTGGGTGTTTCTCAATCGCGAGTAAAGCTGCTTCAGAGCCACTATTTCAAGCATACTACGTCATCGAGTGCCGCCGAAGTACTGTTCCAATCTCCAGCATACTTGGAAATCTACCGAGCCCGGCGTACTCCGTTTGGAGAAATATCGAGGCTGCACATGAGTAGACTCCGCGGTCTTAAAATCCCCACAATGCTTTGCGCACGGACCAATTTCCCCAAATCTGTGGCGGAAGATGTAAGGCGGGGCCTCTCATATGACGCACACCTGCACACTTGCTAGCGTGTTCCACACTTTGTTTTCCGAATGCCAGGAAGTATTCTTGACTCGCTTCTGAAGCAAGATGCTCGGCAGACATGTGCTACCAAGCAAGCGTACTCGCAATTGAGAAACACCCATTGTTTGTATGGGTGCTTGTACAAATACAAGTGCAAATTGGTCAAGATTTTCAGACATGTCGTTCCTGACAATAATTTACCTTTTAACATTGTTGGAAGAAGAATTTTGATATTTTCCTTGTATAAGAGCAGTGTAAACATATTCTGTTATAGCCTTGCATTCAAAGTCTTACTTACTAACTTACTTAAATATATTTATTTATTTGGGTTGTATGAGGTACTAATCCATAGCTCCTCAGGCTTCCATCGACATGGATAAGTACCTCATAATACTCCCCTTGAAAACATCTATACATTTAATTCAAAGGTATAGAAGTATTAATATGAATCTACTTCAAATACAACAATTAAAGTTAATCATTATGTAGAAAAGCCCATTTCAAAATACATTTCAAGAGTACATCACTTTAATGTTTCACCTGGTAAAGGGGAGGCTACTTTTAGTGACTCTAAATACAGCTAAATAGCCCAACCTATGAAAATATATAATAATTGAATAGGTGATTTATATGTTGTATTATGTATATTATATTCATTTCAAAAATGATATTCAATGCATACTGATGAGCTAATATCTGACGGGTCAATATGCTGATGAATTGGGCGGTTTTTGTCTTTGTGTATCAGGTCAGACGGCGTCTACGGTCGGTGAAGAGCGCAGGTTCAACCCGCGCTTGACCAAAAGCGCGGATGAGTTTGTGAACATCATGAACAACCTGAATCTCCCCAAGCCTAGAAAAATAGGTATCAACACATTTCTTTCTATAGTTTACCCTCAACCTGTGTTCTGTAAAGATATACATCTAATTCCTGGGCCAAAAAAAACATTTTCAAGGTTGTTCAGTGCACAGACCCATATTTAAAGATGTTGCTTGTCACCATACATTCTACTGTTTCTGAAGCAGTTTTGTTTTTCTATTACTTTGCAGATGTTTCAGTGCCTGCTAATCTGGTTTGTGGAGTACAGGAAGTCTGAATGTCCTGCAAAAGGGAGGAACTACTTTAACCAAGGAATCACTATCATAACCATCATACTATCATGAAATCAGAATCAGCTTTGTTGGCCAAGTGTCTGTGCAAGGATTACAATGCATTTTCCACATAGCAAATGATTAGCATTTACATTTTTGAATCTAAACAGATACGTTAATCAATAATTGTTTACCATAAAGTGCTTTATTGTGTATATTTATGTTAATCTAAAGATGTACAGTATATTTGAAAAGTTACCGCCATTTGGATGCTGACGTTAATATGACAATGCTTAGAATAAAAATGCAATCGGCTCTATTTTAACCGGAAAACATGAGTACTTTTTTTGTATGTAACGTACCCTATTCAGCTGTGCTATTATGAATCGGCGAGGAAATCTTCAAGATGGAAAGCTCCGATAGGAATGTTCCATTCAAGGTTGAGTTTAGTATTCATGAATGCTTAACTGGGACAATTGAGTTATTCCACATGGCCTTCCCAGTGATTCCGGACTCCTTAAGCTGAGGATGCACATATTTGCACACACACACACTCACACACACTCACACTGCTGCCAGCCACAGCCTTTTTACATAGCAGGAAATTGAAACTATTTGAGGGCCAGGTTTCCATTGTCAACATGCCATTGCCATGGGTTTGAGCTCTGCTCTTCTAGATGTCTAATAAACAAGCGTGTTCATTGACATGTGTAACTTTATCTTAGCATGTTGTGAAGAAGAGCATCCATGCCAAGTATCAACAGTGAATTCTGCGTCTGTGTTTCCAGATGTTCTGTAGGTGCTGCTCTCAGTCTGCACATAACCGCTCATCAGCCAGTAAGACAGGTTTGTTTGGGAGTGTCGGCCTCGGACTCAGCCACATGCCTCTTCCAGAGACATTTGTGAAAGTATGTTCTATGAAGGATCATGAGCTTTTAACGACCAGCACCAACAATATTCAATTGAGCTGTTTCCAAATGCAAATATTTGTTCTCCTGTAAGGATTTAAAATGTGCTCAACAGATTGTACAAAGTTCAATTCACTTTTTGGGTGAAAGGCACTCTTGATTTGACCAACCCTCATTAATTACAGTAACAAATCAACCACCTCTGTCGGTGATATTTAACATTTAATAACAGATTTAATAGCAGTAATTGCTAACCTCATATTACATCCAATTACCCGTGTGTTAGTCTATAGAAGCATGATGTAAGGTTTAAACTAGTTTTATTTGTTTGGTTTGAGACATTGGGAAATACTCATCCCTTAAAGTCATAAAAGTTATATTATTGTTACTTTGCACAGGAAGAAAGGGTTTTACTTTTGAACAACTGTATAGACTAGTAAAAACAAGCAGAATTCTACATGCTTTTAATTGAGAAAAAACAAGGCAAATATGTATTTCTGTATTGCACAGTAAGATAGAAAGAGGTGTATATATGTATATATGTATGTATATATATATATATATATATATATATATATATATATATATATATATATATATATATATATATATATATATATATATATATATATATATATATATATATATATATATATATATAAAAAAAAACACAGATGTGGTATCTGCAGAGTTAAGTATCAAAAGAGGAGTTTTGCTTTGGTGCATTCTTATTAATAAAAGGCCAATACTGTCCTCACACACACTATGTTGGTCTGCTCTGTATTCAATGCAGTTCCTTTCAGCTAGACTTATTGTTATTAAGGATTAAGGTGGGCTATTACTTGGATATCTTTGATGTTAGGGTAGTGAAATGCCTGCAAGGCTTTAAACACAGCAACTCAATTATAAATAAAAGAAGGCTTGTTTAAGAATAAAAGAAAGTGATGGCTGCAGAAAAGGTTATCTTTGGGTGGGTGGGTGTTGGCTGGTCTCATGCAAGTTAATACTGTCCACACACACGCACACACACACACACACACACACACACACACACACACACACACACATCTCCCAGCTGTCTCTGTCAGCACTTCAGATAAACAACATGATTTAGCCTCTGCCTCACCTATAAGTGTCCTCGCCAACAGACACCTGCATTGTTTTTTCATTCAAAGCAGGAGGTGTGTGACTGTTCTCAACATCGAGCTGGAGATATGTTGTTTTACAGACATGTGGTTCTACATGAATTGGTCCTATTCTCTCGATCCTGTTTTTCCGCTGGGAAGTTAAGGTGCCAGATGTCCTTTCACCAAGTCTGTGTCACCCATCTGCCAGCCCTCTTTCAGTCCCTCCCTCAGCCCACTTACACTGTGCCACCGTGAACCTGCTGCCCATTCTCTCTCACACCATCCACATGTCACTGGAGAGAATCTATTACACTATCCGCCCATTCAGAAAGAGCAGTAAAGAGGCCAGTCAAGGAGATATAGCCCTAAGAGTTAAAAGCACATGCATACTTCACAACAGGCCCTAAAGAAAACTCTCCTATAGGGACTTAAACTGTATATCCACAAGTATTGAGTCTTCTTATACTTGACTAAAAAAAAATGTTCTCATACAATGTCAATAAGAAGTGTAGAGTTGTTGGCAAAATATCTCAAATAACATTTTAGTTACAGGAATGCACGTTGCTTTGTTATGCAATGGTAAGTTTACAGTGTGTAATGCTTTATGGTATTTTAATCTACTGGGATCAATATAAGAGTGTTGCACAGACTTACACTGGTACTCTTATGTGTACATACTCTCAGTCATCCAGGTCACATGATTCGTAATGGTAGTTAGTCACACTGCCTTGACGCTATATATTATGCTATTTATATACCACTCCAACCCTCGAATTCCCTTTAAGCACGACAAGAAGCAACACTCACATATTTTTACTTATATAACATTTATTTTTATTTTTGAAGAAGAAGCCTACATTTTGTTCACTTTACAATCCCTGTACACCTGTGGTAATCTGATGTGATTTTAGTTTTTTGTCCATCTACTCTGATTTCATGAAGAAGCAGTTGTCTGAGGTCTCACAACAATGGAAGTGCATATTGTAAATGGTAAACCAATTGTATTTAAGGCTACAAAAAGTATATTTGCCTGTATTTAATACAAGTAAAACCTGTTCTGCATTTAAATTGATGCCAAAATATTTTGCCTAGGTTAGTAGGTAGCTGTAAACAATCTCTGAGTTATCTTCTCTTCACAAAGTGTTGAACTGTTTGTACACTTGCCTAAGAAACATCAGTTTGTCAAGGTAGGCCATGGTCTTTGTTTAAGTTGGCACCTGGAAAGCTTGGAAGTCAGAAGTTCATACTTACTCAGCTATGACCATCCATGTGTCAATAGTATTTGCAGGGTGACACATTTACAGTTTATCCCTGCGCCAACTATGTGTGTTTAAGGAGTTACACTGCAATGTAATGAAAATGTATAAAAACCTTAATTTTACTTTACTACTGCTTTGTAAAGAGTATTTTTTACTGCAGAGCAAAAGGTCTGAAAGTCCTGAAAAACAAGAAATATTCTCAACATTCACTGTGAGGTTGTCACAAGAAAGAACCATCCGGAAGGAGTGTCTGAGTACATTTACTCTAGTACAGCATGTAGGTTCATAGCCTACTTTACTATAGTATTTCTATATTCTGCTATGTATACTTCCACTTCACTACATTATTTGAAAGCTAAAGTTACTAGTTAATTTGCCAATTCTAATAATACAAAATAAAATAAATAACATTAATATCATATGATTCTATATTATAATATTTTATTCTGAAATGGATCATTCTGCATAGATGGTAGGCTACTTTATTTTTAAGGCTAATAGTTGTCATAAGTCAACACACTTAATGACTTTTACTTTAGTACCTGGTAATTGTCATGGTATTCCTATATATTATGCTTTTTTTTTATGTGAAAGTGCTATTTCTAATTGTTTTATGATTACCCTTTCCTAATTCTGTTGTTATTTTATGTTTTTTTTACCCCACAGTGTATTTTTTAGTGCTACATTATCCACCACTGATACTTAAACCATGTAAAATTGCCCTTCCTACTCCACTTGTCACTTATTAAGCTCAAGATTGGACCAAATGACTTTTGTCCTCCAAACCATGTTAAAAATAAATATAAATGATGCAACTGACCCTGACCCTCAGTCCCCCTACTATATCACTTTAATATTAAAACCCTCCCATGCGAGCTTCTCATGACAAGTATTTAAGTGGCCTTTTACTTCAACGCGAACTGGCAATACGCCTGGTCTGGATGAGTCTTTAGCTGAGCCACTCCACAATGAGAAAGCCCCGTCAGTTCCCAGAATAGAAATCCCATTTGGGTGCAGGACTTGAACGGGACTGTTTGTCTGTGCAGCAGGGACCGCCGGTGCAGTCTGCTCATGGGGCTTTTCATTTATGCCTACAACACAAAACAGTTTTATTAGCCGGTCCCCGCCTCCGTCGTCGCCCTACTCCGCGTGCTCACTTCATTCTCACCTGTTGACGCCGGCAGCAGCTCAAACTGCTCTGTCATTATTTCCTGGGAGGGATTACAACCAGGTGAAGATTTTTTTTAAAAGAGCAGAAAAGGGGGAGATAACGTGGCTGTCAACCCAAGTCGGTGAGCTACAGTAAACCCAACGCGAGACTGACTTGTGTGTCGGAAAGTGAAAGCGCTTAAAAGTTTGCTGAAGTGACGTTTCGGTACTTTTTCGAGTCTAATTTTTTTTAATTTCCCTCCGGCTTTGTTATGATTTGGAGGTTCGACAGCTCGTGGCGTTAAACTGGAGCACGTTTCCCAGGTAAGTGCTGTTGTTTACTTTAATGTCTGTTTTTATAAAGTCAGCGAAAAGGACTTCTCCAAACAGCTTATACAAAGCCCTTGTAGTTCCTGTTGTAAATGACTTCCCATACGAGGTGCTCACATAGTATTGTTGTGATCAGTAGGCTACATGGGAAAGTTTGGAGTCCCTCTGTTGTAGACTCCATCATATCTTCTTTTAATTCCTTATGTCCCCAATATGATTTAATACAACTTCCTGGTGTTAAATGCAATCAAAAGCAAAACTACCTTCTTGTTTGAAACTTATCATTTGGATATTTTTGCAAAAAAACTCAATTGATTCAAAGTCAATTAAGATATGTCCTGCCTTCTGGCCTAAACAGAGCCCCGATTAATTAATTTCATCCATTTCTTATCTGTGAAAATATCCACAGTAACTTTCTCTGGACTGCAGCTGGACTGCTGTTTTTTTTGTCAAACATTGTCCCATCCCATGACATTAACTTTCAGCTTTCATAATTACCCTTTTGTTTACAATGACCCTGAGATATCTCACCTTTAATCCCTCCATCAGCACACACAGGGTAAACAGAGTGGGTGGGAGTGTGGGTTCAGGGAGGATTGTGAGGGGAGATTGATTGTGTTGGGAGGGTTTGCTGTCTGGAGAGCTCTGCCTTTAATTAGTGTCTGTCTTACTTACTTACACACACACACACACACACACACACACACACACACACACACACACACACACACACACACACACACACACACACACACACACACACACACACACACACACACACACACACACACACACACACACACACACCTTGGGACAAATCTGTGTCTGAGCCCTACATCCCAGCCTGTCATTAATGGATCACTCTTTTATTGCATCACAATTCCCAGAGACTTTCTCAGGCCAAAGGAATCTGTCAGTGCAGTTGAACCAGTCCTGATGCCAGGATTTACACACACCCACAGTAGCAGTATTTGAAGTGCTGAGAGATTTTCTTACAACATACCCTCATTTCTGCACTTCATATGCTTTGTAAGTTGGTGAAAGTGAGTTTTTTTGCACTCTGTTTTATTATGTTTTTCCCCTGTGTTCTTCATCTAGTTTCCTACAACTTACCTGCTGATGTTGTTGCTTATTATTTAAGAAGATCAATTGTTGAAATCTTGGCAAAAGCTGATGATTTGCACTCTTTAGTTCAACATGTTTAAACCAAAATGTGACTCGTCATTAGCCCAGAGAATCCAAAAACTCTACTGGAATCTAACAGTGATTCATGTTTTTTATTTCTTTGATTTGATGGTACTTCATTTGAATCCTACATTTTTTCCAATTTACATTTTATTCAAGCAAAGTTTTAATACGGCTGCTAAAGTGAAGGTGGGCCTGTTGTTGTACAATAACAACAGTCTACATCCGGCTAAACATGGAGTTAAAAAAATATGAATAATAATAAGAAAAAGTGGGTACTAATGTTACCTTTTCCAAACAATGCCAAGCCATTTCCACTAGTGGAGCTTGAGCCGGTTTACATTAATACAACTAATGATTGCAGAAAAATCTTTAACACCTAAAGCGGCAAATGTTGATGTTCATACCAACATAAGTTTATCAGCTAATTTTCCAGAGGAATGTTAAAAATACGAAATAAAAGTGCATTTTGATGGTATTTCTTGCATGTGCGAGTTGAGTTTAACTAGCTGCGTTACTGGTTTCTTTTCTTATGCGTAACATTCCAAGTGTCAGGTCCGGTTTGTCTCTTTTTTCCTCCCGGTGACAGCTGGGTGAAAGCCAAAACTCGCTCCTCTCACCTGCTTTTCCTGCTCACACTGCTTGTTCTATGACGACAGCTTCCTGGTCCTCGGCGGCGAGCCAGAAGGAGCCACACGAGCAGGTCCAGAGGTCGCTGTAGTCCACAGCACTTAATCTGTCAAATGACAGCATGCTCTTTGCTCTGGTGTAGGAGCAGGTCCATACAAATATCATGACACATATGTAACACATAAAGAGGCATAGCTGTATAGCCATTATTTCCCACTTTTAATAGAATAGCAGAAAGCAATATGTTTCTGTAACTCAAAGCGAAATATTTTTAAACCTAACCATATTCTTCTAAAATGAGAGAGAGAAGTTATCTGTTGTCCTTTGTTTAGAGCATAATGTTAAGCAGGACCAGAGCAAGAAAATGTAAAAAAAGGGACCCTAGTGTCTCAATTTTGACAAAAATAATAAATAAATTATTTATGTTCCCTGGAATCATTGTGTGCATAACACACTGGTGTCAATGTTTTGATATCAGGCCTTCTATTGAAAAAAAGGAGTTGTTTTAAAGGCTGGATTTTGTTCTGTTTGATTAAAACCACAGCCTGTAATTGTGACCAATACAAATAATATGTGACTTCCTTGTTCTCAAGGCCTAATAGCTGGTTTTGATCTTATGCCTTCTGGAGATGAGAGACTGCATTTTGTCCTCTGGCTTGTACATGCCCCTCTGGTCTGTGTCATGACTCAGTGTTAGGGGCGATGCAGCACTCATACAGAACAGTACAATGCAGTGTATGTTGTGTTGAGCATGACTGATTTCACAATTTACTAATCCTCTGAAAATATTTGACTCTAAACTTCCCTTGGGAGGAAAAGTACAGTTTTACATTTTTTATATTTTATTTGTTCACCTTTCAAAAGTCTACAACCGGAAAAGGGTTTGTTTTTGGCCGGTGCAATATTTTGTTTTAACTGCACTGCTTTGACAAAGACAGACATTTCAGATTATAAATTCACTTTCTATATTAAATCTCTGTTAACTTTTATCTTGTGAAATCCATATAGAAGACAGTATCAGTTTCACGAGATGAAAAGTTGCAAATAAAGTTAATTCGAGTAATTTTGCACAGAATTGAATGGAAAACAAAATGTAGTGGAGTTTAATGACAGGATCAATCTTTCTATTTTGAGCCAAAAAGTTATTGTTTCAGTAAACCCACTACCCCCCCTTCTGTTTACACTACAGTGCACACTAACCTATAGTTTAGACCCTGACCCTGTTACAGCTTGGTCTATCTGTGTCACTCTGTTGCAAACTGACTGTATAATTCAATTCTACAACAGAAATCCATTCAAATGTAATACATTATAAGTTTAGCGAGCAATTTGAGTGAATTAAGAGAGGATTGACCTCCATGCCTGGCCTCTGTGGATTAATTGAACAGTGTGCACAGCCCCCCTCTGAACAGAGCAGTGTTGCTCACATGCTCCGGCTGTAGGCGGCATTCACTTCCTCACCTAGCAGGCCACCGTCACAGCTCTTTTGTCCTGTGTGTTGCTGGTGGAATATAGCCGTTGTCACTGTTGGCTTTATGGTTATGTGTAAACAATGCTTAGCTACACTATTCCTTTCAACACATGAGGGGTCCTGACAGGCAGTCATTTCAGAATGCTACTGTGTGTGTCTTCATCATTTGGGAATTACAGTATACGATATGTTTTCAGTTTCAGAAACACAGTAGTCAATCTTTAGATATGTGAGTAAGTCTACGCCGAACATAAAACGATGTTGCAAAGACAGTAGTACAGCTGTACAAAGGGAAACCACAAACATATTCAAATGACACTCCACCAGTGAACACTTGTTGTAATAATAATAATAATAATAATAATAATACATGTTATTTATATAGCGCTTTTCCTGGTGCTCAAAACGCTTAGATTTATACATTTTTATTACATCAAGTTGTAGCGGCTAAAGGCGTCATTAGCAGTGAAAAGCACAACACACCTCAATCTCCTGCCTTAAAGGTTCGCAGTAAGATCAGTGCACTGTGTATTTGTGTGAACACTGTCTCTGTACAAAATGGGATCTCTACGGTTAAAGAGACCCCGATGAGTCAGCAGCATTGAAAAGTGTGCATAATTGACGTGAAGGTCTTGATTGTTCTTACTGGATTCACTAACACATAGTTTGTGAAAGAGAGAGATTTTGCTGATTTGAGCACGTGGTGAGACAATTTGACACGAGAAACATTCTGCTGTGTTGTTGAACATGCTTGACTCTCTCACTGGTCTCACTGTGTGTTTATGAGTCAGCTGTTGCTGGTTATTACTGATCTACGGTTGATAATTATCATGCAGACTGATACAAGAGTCCTGAAGTCCTCCGGGTTTCACTTTGAGAGTTTAGGGTTATATCTTGTGTTACCTCTGGGAACTCATTACATAACACATACACATAAACAAACACATGCCCACTCTGTTCACTCCCTCTCTGCTGCTATCTTATCCTCCAGAGGCGCACCCTCCCAGCATTAAAGACTAATTATTTTGGGCACAAAAGTCTGTTTTGTTTTTTGATCTGACTCGAGCGGAACTTTTCCCTCTTCTTTTTTCTTTCTGCCCATGCTGATTTTATATCCATAGTCGTTGCTTTTATCACTGTCTCCTACTGTCTCACTATCTCTTGTTTTGCCAGTGCAATGTGTTTGTTTAGCCTGTTTTCTGGTGCATTTGACCACTTTGTTAACATGAAAGCATGGACTTTACTCCTGAATGCCTCTCTCTTTCGGCCCCCCAGTGTTATATCTGAGTGGACTTTAGCTGGAGGTCAGAAAGCAAGCGCTTGCCCTGATGTTTGTTTGGATAATAATCTAACTCGTGTGAAGCTCTGTCTGCTTTGTTTTCCCAGATATTGACAGCTTTTACTGGAAAGCAGACTAGAATAATTTTGTAGCAGGACAAATAGTGTATTCATGTTGATGCCAGAGAAAGGCTTTACAATTGGCATTGCCAAAAATGGAAATGTCCTCCGATTTGGTAGTTGGATAATATTTATAGTCAAAATGAATATACCACGTTTTACATCGAACCTAAGTCAAAGACTACTTTTATTTTCATTGTTCCCATTGAATTTGTTCATTTTGAAAAGCATTGAATGTATGTCTGCACAAAATAACAGTATGCATAAAAAGAGTGTTCTCTGCAATTAGGTGGACATTTTTTTTTGTGTATATCGGATTGGTCAAAAATAAAAAAGTCTAATATCATTCATCCATAATATATAATAGTGTTGCGCCCATGAAATACCAGTACCGAAACCGTGAATATTTTTTTACTCCAGACATTTGACCGCTGAAGTGTTCGGCCTTCTGCCAGTTCAACTTCATTAACATGTGTGTGTTTGACTGTAAAGTCATTAAAAACATTTTATTTAGGTGGTTTCTATCGGTGAAACTTGAATGTTGCAGTATAAAAACTGTTCATCAGAGTATTTGCTTTTTTTGCTGCTTTTGAAATTTGGGGGTTGGGTTTTTTTTTCTCACAGTTAAAACTGATATTGTGATATACCATGAATGACTGTCTTGCCATAAATAGTAATATAACTGCAGTATTATAAACAGTATATAATAAAATGCTATAGGTGCAGATTTCACCTTCCAAGTTTATGCATATTAATGATCAACCGGTAAAGAGTTGGAATCACCTCTTTTTTTTAAAGCTATTTTTGGGCCGGAGATGGCATTTATTAGAGATTTATAGCGTTGAAACAGGGAGACAGAAGGGAGGTCATCGCCTTAATGTTCTGCCGGCTCAGGATTCGAACCAGCTTACTAGGCAGCGATTTACGCTCTAACCACTGAGCTATCCAGCGGCCTGGATTCACATCTTTGAAATATCCTCATGATAAGAAATATTATATTTTCTTTAGTGAACATTATTGTATTCTTTATCCGCATCTATAAAACTGCATGTTGCATATTTGCTGTATCACCAGGAACATGACACTGGCCTTTGACATTTAACACTCCACTTCCTGCTGTTTTTCTCTTTCCTCTCTCTCTGTCCATGCCTCCCCCTTCTCCAATCTCTCTCTCGTGTGTCTCAGTGTGTCAGTCGTTGTTTGGAAACCCTCACTCACATCTCTGCTGTATATTTATGTCTAGGCATTCCCTGCAGCCTAATAAGGTCTGGATCCAAGGAGAGAGGGAGGGCACAGAGGGCGAGGGGAGATGGTGGGAAAAGGTTGGACAATAGGCATCAAAAGTATTTTCCCACAAGTTGGTTTTAGCCTGTGCATGTGTGCATGTTTCTGCTGGTTTTGTGTACAGAGAGACCACACAGTAGAGGATTAAAGGGCAACATAAAATAAAGAGACAAGGATAATAAAGGTCTTTAGGTTGACGTATTCCCAAAAGTTGGGAAGCACTTTGATGTAGAACAATGTAAACATTATACAATGGTATTTTCTCTTGTAAATGAACATGAATGTTAAATACAGAACAAAAAAGTATGACATTAAAGTACTTCAAAGACTATTCTTATTTGCTCCAACATATGTGGAACTCCTTGTAGTTTTTCATTAATTGTTCCATTCATAAACCGTCTCGTTGCTGGTGCACATCAAAAGCCTCCTAACTGTCATGTATCACTCTATTGTCCACACACAGCAGAGTCCCTTGGAGGGACCCTGAAACATCGCCCACACCCTGAACCTTCCCCTCTCTTTCACTATTGTTTCCTCTACTATTAGGTGTTTACTCCATCAGTGACAGGTTTCTGGATCAGGTGGTGCATTTCTGTGTTTTAAAGTCCTCACAAAGTACTATTTCAGCTGTGTCATCTGATCCCTGATACACCTTCAACCGTGCAGCAGATTAGATTACCACAATATTCACAAAAGTGAGTAGCTCTCATGAACTGCCCTCCCCCCTTGTCTTCTCTTTAGAAATGCCCCAACATAACATGGAGAGCACCAGGAGCCCGTGGCAGCGGGGGCCGCGGCCGCCGTGGATCACCAGAGTGGCTGAGGGCCACAGCCCCGCCTCCTCGGGGGCGGAGTCAGACACAGAGAGCAGCAGCACGGAGAGTGAGAGGGTAAGTGAGTGAAAGGTTGTTGATGAAGGTGATCTGCTCCTTTAATGTTGTAACAATGTGGGGAGTATGAAAGCCCCCTCTAGATCCTGCTTGTCAAAAGAAAGAATGCTTTAAAACCAATGAATCACGCCACATTACTAGACCCAACCGTTTACTGTTGTAAAGCCTCCATGTTGACACTTTCACACTTTGTTTCCCCCCCCAATGCCAGTCTTGCGTCAAAAAACTGGAGCTGGGCTCACTGAGGGTCCTGCCGTCGACCTCAATGCTCCGACAGCGAATCACAGAGATCGACCAACAGAAGGAGGAACTAAAGATTGAAGTGAGCATCTAACATGATTGTTGCCCAATCAAATACAGGCACCAACACATCTATTTTTCTCATCCTATTCATACATCAAACTGAAACAATTGGATCATTTGTCAAAAGTTTTATCATTAAAGCATTTTAAGAAATCCAGAAATGGAAGAGCCAAGTTACTTTTGCATACTTTAACCAGAAAGATATGAAAGATCACTGAAAATAAATGATTGACTAGATAAATAATAGCTATTCTTTAAAGTTTTAATGACACTACTTTGGCATTGAGTTGTCTTTGTCTCTAATGTGTAATATGTTGTGGGCAGTTGGTTGGGCAAAAAAGCAATGTAAAGATCTGTCCTTGGGCTTGGCTTGCTTAAATTTGTTGCTACTTTTTACACTTTTACAATAGAGGAATCTCTGAGAACATAGTCCGCAGATGAATCAATATATAATCATCATACATTTCAGTCCTAAAACAAATTAAACAATATGTAAAGGGTCCTAGTGTAAACAATTGCTGCATCAAATAACCAACCGAAACTGAGTGTTTAAGGAAAATCTAAAATCATTTCGATGGTGTTGACTTGGAGATCTAAATGTGCAGACTTCAGCAAACTCCGACACAGTCACGGTAAAGGAATGCATATCTGTGACTTGCTCAAGCCGTGGTCAATATGATTCAGCTCAGCGTTGTCTCCTGTCCTTTCAGCTGCAGCTGGAGATCGCCCTGCTGCAGGGAGAGCTGCAGACGGAGAACTCTCAGCTGCACAGACACACACAGAAGCTGCAGGCTCTACAGCAGGAGGTCCGACGGAAGGGGAAGCACCGACAAACCGACAGACAAAAGGTATCATGCAATACAGCTAAAAAAACATATTTTATTGGTCACAAACGGGTATGTGTTTTGTGCTTTTGTGATGTTTTACCTCATGATTGTGTCATGATTCATATGTGTGGGCTCAGTAATGATCTGCAGAACAAACTCTTCTAAATATTTTTTGTTTTGAAAAGTTGAGGTGACGACTTTACTCCTGCTTCACTGCCCTTCCCTGCAGGAGCGAGAGAGTCTGGAGGAGGAAAGACGGAGGGTGAAAGAGCTGAAGGGGAGGTTCGAGGAGAAGGAGAAACTGATCCCCAGTCAGCCAGAGAGCCAGAGAGAACTGCTCACACTGCAGCTGAAGCAGGTCAGTGGCTACAGCCTCTCCATCTAGGAAGAAACCAAAAAGAAAGGCAACGTTGTCTCATGTTCATAAACCTGTTGAGACTAACCCCTTTTGGACTTGCACCCCTTAATGCTTATGAAATGTGAATATATATATATATATATATAGTTTGAAGAAATAAGCCTGGTGACTTTTTATGTAAAATTCACAACAGCGATCTCTTAAAAATGCTCAAAAAGGTTTTCATATATGGAACTTTTTATGGTCACTGCCCTTCTGTCTCTGTGAATTGCATGTTTATAAGTGAATAACATCCAATACATGATGTTGTTAGCAGCTTTCCAATTGATATATACTATATAACACTGAAACTGATCCTGTTTAGTCCCATGACAGTGTGTCTCAGATGCAGGTTGTGTAAGCATCAGGTCGGATTCCTACACGGATTCCTGTGTGTGGTTGCACAAAGTGTGATTGTTCAGTACCTGTTCAACCTGCTGTGACAATGTTTCCAACACTTACACACACACACACACACACACACACACACACACACACACATACACATACACATACACATACACATACACATACACACACACACACCATGAACTGTATACTTTTCTTTGTGAATGTGGCAAAACCAGATGAGAGACTTCCTTGTTTCAAAAGCAGTGTTTAATGACAGGGTTAGTGCAGTCTAGCAGCAGGTTCTTACTTTACGTTGTGACATGACAGATTTATTTGGAAAGATGCTTTAGAAACTGGTTTGTCACAAATAGCCCCACAGAAAAAAACCTCATGCATGCACACAGGACTTAAGTACACACTGCACAGGAAGAAGAGCAGGTATTTTGGTTATGAGGCAATGAATATGCACATGTTTTTACTTTCACCTGCACTTGCACCACTTTTATCTAATGAACATGGTTTGAGTCATTTTGGTAATGCAGCCTTAAAACCAGTGCTTTTATGGACAATGTGCCAAGAAATATAGAATCCCAGAAGTTGTTTTCTGATAAATACAATTTGAAGTCAAATGTGATGTCTTCTATATAAATATAACAGACAGAAACTCATTTGTCGTTAAATAAAAAATGGAAGTATTAAAGCAAGTATAAATTCTAGCACATTGGAAATGGCACTGCTTTATGACAAAACCCTTATACATTATGAATTGACTTTAGTAGCTTTAACTAAAGTATGTCTTTAAGGTAAACAATCTATTCACAGATTAGTTTGAAGAGAGGTTAAATGACAAAGAGAAAAGTAACATCTCAAGTGTTGTTCCTTAAAGGTAGGGTAGGTAAGAATGGAGAAACCAGCTCGAGTGCACTAGAATTTGAAAGTACGCAGCCGAAAAAAATCTGCCCCTTCCTTCAGACTTCCTTACAGAGCCCCTCCTCCAACACACACGAACGCGCACATGACCAATAAGGGCACGAGATAAGTTTGTGCACAGATGGAAGGCTGACAGGCAGGTAGGCCATCCAGTTATTTTAGCCGGGCCGGCTCAGATGATTGGTTGTGCTTTTCACAGCGCCACGGCTTCCACAGATGACAGTTTTTTTTTATGTATTTATTGTCAAAGCATTTCATGTATTCATTGCTATCGGGATGTTAAGAGCATTCCATGGAATATAACAAGTGTTTCTGAAGTGAATTACCTACCCCACCTTTAATATCTGAGTGCTGTTTATCAGCTATCAGAGTTTTATTGTGATATTTGTTAGCATAAAAATGTAAACAACGGCTGAGTTGTATTTGACTCGATAATTCGTCTTGATTGCAGGAGAGAGAGGCGATGGAAGCGGCGGTCCGGGCGTTTGACGACTGGGAGTTTAGTGTTCTGGAGAAGGAGAGCGGACTTGATGAGGATGATGAGAGCACGCTTGATGAAGATGGGGAGGAAGAGAGTGAAGGGGAGATGGATAAGGAAATCCTGCGTCAGCAGCATGCGATCAACAGTGGACAGGTAAACAACAACGTTTTGTCGAAGGAATTTTTCTCAGAGAATTTCAGAACTACCCCTGACGCGTTATACGGTGTTTACAGCTTATCTGTGTGTCATGTGCTTCATGTCAGTGTTACCCCCGCTGGCTGACATGGGATTAACCTTCACCCACAGTACTCTTAATACAGAGTTGTGACATTAGACTTCTGCACAGAGCAGGTGGACAAACAAACAACACCCCACAATCTAATCAGTCTAACACAGTAGCCCGGCAGAGACGTCTACATTTGTCAAATATGACAACGCTGGAACTCAAAGTCCATGTGAATGCACGCCAACAAGGGAAGGTGATGCCTAACAACTACTCATATATCTTACTACAATTTACTTTCATATTTTAGGGGTTTATCATTAATGTATCATGTTAATAATTTCCAATTATCTTTTCTTCATTGATTTCTGATAGAGTTTTCTCATATTTATTGATTATGTTTGTGTCATCAGTGTTGGTAGAGAAATAGATCACAAAAACATATTCATATCAATTTAAACTATGCACTACATAGAATAGACAGTTTGTTCACTTTCACTTTAATGCTGTTGTTACTGCAAACTTTGGCATCATGATTGTGTGAGACATATGATACACAGTCCTTTACTTTACCAAGTTGGCTTTCTTAAGAACGGTTTTCCAGCATCCTCCAATTATGAGCATCTGAAATTAATCTTCTCTCTTCAGAGTCAAAATAAGGAGTGCTCAGAGCAGAAAGGGAACTTTAAAGCCACAAATCTGAGCCCCTCCTACAATAATCACAGAGTTGTTTGCATTAATCAGCAAAGCTATAAATCTGCAGATTCTATTTTTTGCACTCCAGCACGGTGAAAATCATCATTATTGGCTTATTTGCTCCAAAGGCCTCCCTACCACTTTAAAGCAGTGTGCACATGCACTCTCCTCAAGTCACAGTCCATGGTTGTCATTGCAGGTTAATACTTGTCCTCCTTACTCTCCACCCCGTTAAATCGTGACACGAGCGTGAACCTTTACCTCACTCTCACCAGCATCACCCTGACACTGTCACATGACTCCAGACAGCAAGCTTAATTACATCAGAGGCCACCCTGAGAGAGAAATCAAAGGAGCAGGAAGGAAAGGAGAGCAGTGACAACGGAGCTGACGATCGAGAGATAAAATGCATGAGGGGATTTGGAAACATTTTTAAGCATGGATACATTGTTCTGGCTAAAATGATATTCAGGATAATCTTTGTCAAACATTGGGATCATGATTATTTGTTTCAAGAATGCAATAGCTGTATCACACTTAGAATTGGCAGTAGACATGATCATTTACAAGTTGATTTTAAATGTTGAAATTAAGAGAAAAATTGGATGAAATAAATGTGTATTCCCAAACAGAGATGAAATACAAAACAGTAATAGACAATAACAACAATAGTTCCCCCAGATCATGCACTCAAATATCCCAAAGTCTTCACCTTAAACTTTCAACCTGTTTCTGTGCAGCAGTGTTTATAACAATGGCCTGTGATTGGCCAGACAGTTTTGAATAGACCAGGCTTGATTGTACACACCACAACAGTCAATCTAAATGAAAAGAGACAATGTACCACACAATGAATCTGATTTACTGTGGAAGCCAAGATGATGATTGTCAATGTCAAACACTTCATTCTGCAGCTTTGTGATGGGGAGAGTCAACAAAAGGAGCAAATTGGGAGACAAAATGATTCAGGTTTCGGATTTCCACGATCATTTGAAGAGGCCTGGAACATTTTGGCACTTGCGTGAGATATCCTAAATGTAAAACTGCAGTGAGGCGCCAACTGTTGAGTTTTCAATATCTAATTAAATGACTGAGACATGCTCTTTCCATCGGTGCTTCCGACTTTCTTAAATGTGAAGGTGAATAGGAAACAATCTGTTGTTTCTTTGCCAGCGTCATCAGTCTTACACACTATAAAGGGACTCAAATTCTACAGCCACGCTGTGAGGGTGTACTTTAACACAGGGGTGTTTTGAGCTAAATGCTAACACCAACATGCAGACATGCTCATAATAATGATGGCAACATGCTGATGTTTAGCTGGTATGATATCTACCTTGTTTACTGTCTTAACAATGTTCATATTGCTAACATTTGCTAGTTAGCACAAAATACAAATTACAGCTGATGATGGCGCTATATCTAAAGTCAGAAGATTACTAAAGTCTTTGCAAATAATCCTGAGGGATATATGATTGTTAGAAAAAATGTCTTTGCATCTTCCCATAGCTGTCATATCTCTTGCAACCACATATTTCCATTTTGTATTGACAATGTTATGAAAGTTGAGTCCACAGTTCAAAGGGATTCATCCTCAGGTGACCATGAACCATCAATTTCATAGCATGGGTTATGAATGATAGAAGAAGGTTAATTGACACATTTTCTATTGCCATTTTGCCAAGTAAAACATGTTTTGAATTTCCTCATTGCAAAATATTTCTGAAACCTCCACTATTTCCAAATGTCTCCAAGATAGAAAGTGAAGGCAGCTGTAAAATATTTTTGACGTTAGATCTTTGTTTACATTCTGGCAGAAAGTTTCAAAATGGCTGTTGTTCCATTCCCAAGTCAGATTCCACAAAAACATATGAATACAGACAATAGATTAGATTGTGTTGTTAATAATATACAATTGTTCCTCAATTAGCTGAAGTATGTGAGAGGAGGAGAAGAGGGGGATTGTGTGAGAGTGATGGTGGTTGACTCGGCTGCAAATGACAGCTCATCCTTACACCCTCTGTCTGTCTGTCTGTCTGTCTGCCTGTCTGCCTGTCTGCCTGTCTCTCTCTCACTGTGTCACACTTGCTGCCCTAATTTCCTGATTAAAAACGACTCATCATTTATTTTGGTTCCACTCTCACTCCTGCTGTCACGTGTTCCTCTCCTGCCTCTCATTAACTTGCAAATGTGTGATTTGCATTGTGTCTCGGCTCAGGAAATCAGCTCGGCTCGGGGCTCCGCATTTGCTCTCAGAATCCATGTTTACCCACCATTACACCTCAACAGAATGAAAAGGAGAACTACACTCGGGGCCAGCCAGATGAATCAGATACAGCACACGCCAATTGTTTTGAGGAGGAGAAACCATGTGGCTGTCCACACTGATGGGAATTATGCTGTTAATTTTCAGGAGCGAGTGCAGCAGTTACAGAGACAGCTGAAGGAGATGGAGAGGGAGAAGGAGAGGGAGATGAACGCCTTGAGGAAAGAGAGGAGAGACCTCGTCCACACAAATCAAACGGTAAGAGAGATATATGATATTATGGACTATTACCAACCACCATTACTACATCTGAGAGTTCATTCATTCTGTCGTCTGTTTTTTTACTTGATTGGAAACAACCATTTGAATTTTGCTAAAAGAAGGAAAGATGGCAACTGTGTAAGAAATCAAACCCTATGTCCTCCCTAGTTTGCCAATTTCTTTTGAATTTCCAAATCTGAAGTATAGCATTCAAACACACATGTTGACCTTACAAGTGAATAGTGGTTTTGTTTGAACATAGATTGTTAAATGAACTGTTAAGTGAGTCCACACCTCCTACATCAGTTTCTCTGCAAAATGATTCAGAAGTGTCAATATTAGCACAACCACAGTCATTTGTGTGGTAAAGGATTTAAAAAATGATTTGTAGTTGTACACCTGTAGTCTCCACAGTTACTGTATGTACTATGATTAGATGAAGTTGGTTTTTTGTGTATATTTGATATCATGTTACTGTGGAAAGACCACCCTGCCATGTTTTATCAGTGTGTTATGAATATGTATGTAAATAAGTATGTGATTTACTCAGTCACTAATTAAACGGAGCTGTGCCTTTATCACACTGCCAGTGGTTTGTCTTTGAGCAGACTTAGGACAGCACCAGTTAGAATGAGGAGGAGGAGGAGGAGTGGAGATCTCGACGAGGAAAAAGCAAATCAGACATGGAAAGAGAGAAACAGAGGGAGGGAGCAAGAGGGAGTTGAGAGAGGGAGGGAAGGAAAGGGATAGAGGGAGGAGTAAGCATTGTGAGGGAGGGTGCTGCTTTTGTGAATGTGTGTGGACATGTGAGTGTGTGTGTGGATGTGTGACAGGGAGAGAAGGCAAGCTGGGAGAAGTTCCACATCATTTTAACAAGCGGTAAGCCAAAGACACTCAAATTGATCTTCGTGGCTGACAGGCGTTTGAATTGTGTTTGTCAGAAAGTGCCTTAATGTGTTAAGTTCATCTGGGAGAGAGAAGGGGAACAGCTGGAGGGAGGATAGAAGGGAGTGGCAAAGGAGGAGAGAGGGCAAGACGGTGTCATGACCAAGTGTGTACGACTACAATATGACCGTGAGCAGGATGTGCTTTACTTCTGACATGTGGGGTTAATGCTCAGAGCTTGTTGTGTCCTACAGAAAAGAACTTGTGTAGTAGATAGTTGAAGGGAATTTAATCTGATGGGATATCATAGTTGTAACAAGACGCAGATGTTGAAGAAAATGATATCCGAGGATCAGTTGCACAAATCTTCCCTGTCCGCACATTGCCCGTGGGCATGTACGGGTGTAGAGTAGTGAAAGAGACAGATAAGAGTTGACTGCATGTGGTGGCTGAATTACTCATGTGTTTGTGAGTCAAGCAGGGTGGGAGGGAAAGATAGTGAGGCAATGATAATTCTGTTTAACTCATTACGATCCCTCTCGGAAGTGGAGTTTTCATTTTCAGCCAGATGTGGTATGTCGAACGCAAATCAGTGTTTGTCATCTTCCCTGCCCCTTCGGTTTATTTAAAACTGTTTCGCTTTTAGTTGTCATCACTGATACGTTGCTACATTTCAAACTCAATATATTCTGGTCCTACAGGTTCTCAAAGAGAAGAAGCCTCCCACCGATTGGTCGGACATCACCGGCTCAGCCCCCTGCATGATGTCACTTTCCCCTCTGGTGGTTCACAAACCTCCTCAGGTATGTCACCATGGAAACAGCATGTGTGTACTACTGACAGCATGTGTTTACAACTAACGTTTGGTTTCAGTAAGTGCCTTTTTTATTTTCTCAACAAAGCTGTCAATCATTAGTCATAACACGTCTATGTCAATTTCCCAGGAACTTTAAAGAAAAGGTTTTGTATGGTCACACCAGCTGTCAAAAACGAAGAGATTTTAACATCATTTAATGTTACAGAATGCCAAAAAAACATCAACATTTTAAAGTCTTCTCGTCGCTTCAGCTTACATTGTTTTTATTTAATTTTGAAGGAACAAAGCAAAGAGTCTGCCAGTTTGCCTAGAAGACGGAGCTCGCATCGCAACAACAACAGACTCAACGACAGGCCGCAGTCCGTACAGGGTGAGCTATACCATCCCCCTTTTTCTATTTTCTATTGTGCTCTTTAATTGCTTACGCTGAGGGCACCATGTTATAGAACAATACCCACTCTTTCTGCACTCACATTTTGTCTGACTGTTTGTTCAGTTCCCTCCCTTTTAGTCAAATCAAAGGTGTGTCGGTTGCGTCGACAGGTTGTTATTACGTTGGTAGAAAGCAGGATTTTCCTGTATAGGCTGGATGAGCCACAGAAGAGCCTTCAGTATATACTTGATCTCCAGTAGTTATTTTTCACACACACACCTATCCGTCTCCAAATCCCAGTAGCCTGATCTACAAGGTCAAGTCAAGTCTTGCCAGGTGTCCTTCTCCTACATTCTTGAAAGCTGTAACTTAAATGTCTTGATCTAATGTTCATCATGATCCACCACCCCCATTTTTCTCTCATGCCACATATTATATAAAGTTATTCTCGCTGAACAATGCACGTCTCTTCCCTCTCTCAGGGTTGGTGAGGATGCTTCCAGACAGCCAGTCCCTGGGGGCTTTTACATCCCCCATCCCCTCCCATAGGCTCAGCAACGGGCACAACAGTGGGCACAACAGTGGGCACAGCAGCGGGCACAGCAGCGGGCACAGCAGCGGGCACAGACCTGGGAGCAGCAACGGAGGCGGGTTCCTCACACCGTGCAACAGCACAACGAGCTCCCGCGCTGCCAGGTCAGATACTATCCTGCTTGTGTGATGAGCACTGAGAAATTAAGAAGGCCGTGTGTACTTCTTAAGCATTTACATGCAACAGTAGGGGCTTTTTAGTTGTGTATGACAAAAAACAAACTGTGAGGAGGATCCCTTCTTATGAAAGGTGCCGTTAAGAAAAAAAGATCATTCCAGATATTTTTTGTACTCAACAAAGTTATTGTTATGTGTAGGGGCATGTTGACAAGGCTATTACAAAGTTTAACAAGCAGGGAATACGCCGACCGTTTAACCAGATTTTCGAAAGCACTTTATCTGGAAGTAATACTGAAGGTGTGCACACAGGTTGTGTCAGATATAAGTAATAGTAGGACAAAGTAAGTCAAAGGACAGTTTGGATAACTGCATCGTTTTATTTAAAAGCCTGTATGGTCATTCTCCTCGCCTAACTTGGTGCCTTTCCTGCACTCTTTACACATTCCCAGATCTTATCTTGGGACGTAATGTACAGTGTTATAATGACGGATAGGAATGATGGCGGAAACTACACTTTTTAGACTAATTACAATAAGTGTTTAAAGAATGTTAAAGGTCCCATGACATGGCCATTTCTACTGATCATAATTCCATTGTTGAGGTCTACTAGAATAGATTTACATTGTTCAATTTTCCAAACTCACATTGGTTTCTCATACAGCATCTCTGTATAGTATGTGTATTCACTCTCTGTCCTAAACGGCTTGTTGGAGCTCCTGCCCCCCCCCCTCCCTGCGAGCCCACTGTGCTCTGATTGGTCAGCTCGCCCACTCTGTTCTGATGAGTCCACCACCGTTACAGCGGAACATCAGTGATTATGTGTTACAATGGCGTTAGCAACCAGAAAATGACACCAGTAATGACAAACAGATGAGAATGCTACGTGGGATCTGGGTGCCGTGTTGGCGGGACGTTGCGAGGCTCGCTGCTGCGAGGAGCGGACAGTGTGAGCTCGCTTACTGGTGTGGTTTTCCTGGTTGCTGCGTGGGGTCGGCGAGACAGTGAGACACAGCGAAACCCAGCCCGAAACCAGCCCGAGCACACACTGGCTGTGAGTCTGTGTGTGTGCTCACACACAGACTCACAGCCTCGCTGAGAAATCCGCGGAGCTGCAGCTGAGAAAAAATTGAGTGTGTGTGTGTGTGTGTGTGTGTGTGAGGAACGTAACGGCTCCGCGGACGTAACGTAATGGCTCCGCGGATTGGTCCATTTGGACCAATTGGTCCATTTGGTCGGCGTTACGTCACCATACCCAGGAAGAAAAAAATGAAAAATCTCCAACGAGGCGTTCTGGGGCAGCACAGACAGGTATTTTCTGTGTTAGAGTTTTACTCGCTACAGGGTGTACTTTGAGGGTTTTTGACTCTGCAGACCGTTTACATGCAGAAAAAGCTCCATAACACACAAGGGGACGGGTAATAAGCGGAAAAGCATGTCATGGGACCGTTAAGCGTTTTGGCACAGGAACAAATATTATCAATAACTTAACTAGGACTTTGATCGGCTGTCTATATACAAAACGAACACACATCAGCAGCAACAGTTGTTGTTGTAGTGTGATGTGTTGAGAAGGGTGTAAAGCCAGTTGCAGTTCAGTTTGCTCGTTAGTTGGATTGTCATGCTATTTAATTTATCATGCAAAACAACAAAAAACACAGTTGCATTTGTCAGACATGAACATAACTTACTTTAAACACAAATAGGTGTGTTCTTTCCCAGGCTCGATGGAGAAAGAGCGATGGACCTGCCACAAAAAAAGGCTTTCTTCTTTAAACTCAAGTTTATTAAACCTATCTATGCAGAGAATGCATTTTATAATAAACACAGTATACGTTTGCACAGCAGTATAAGATGAGGCCAGAGGCCTGTACTACGAAGCTGGATTTTCGCTTAGCCGGCTAAATTCAGGGAAATCTCGGGCTTTCCGGTCCTACGACGCTGGTTCTCTTTTTAGCAGGCTATTTCCATGGTAACTTATGCTGAGCGGCAAACCTGCTCCGGAGCAGGTTAGGTGGCAGGCTAAGAGATCAACTCAGTGAAAGCACCGCCTGCTGACCAATCAGAGCTCCGTGTGCGGAGTTTAAAGCGATCAATTCATATTACAGGATAGAGGAAATACAGAAAAACTGCCGTTGCAGGAAAGACGGCCGGCCAAAATCAACTGACTGTGTGAACGTGAAAATTAATAGAATATCCCCTCCCATCTTCAGAGCAATCAAACTATTATAATATTAGCGTTAAGAAAGCTTACTTAAATATCTGCCACGACATAAGTAACCGGATCAGAGTAACATTAAGTACAGTCCGCGGCACTGTGAGTGCAGACGTCGATGTGTCCCATTATCATTCATATCATATCGCATCATAATGTATCGTATATTTCCTTATCTGAGTCAGCTTCTTGAGCCGTATCTGGCCGTGCAACACTCACAGTGTCACATACTGTATGCAGAAGTATTATTTTAAGCAACACATTAAGTTGATGAAACACTCGAGTCAAATGTAATTAAAGTCAGATCCACTCGTGTCTTGGACGGGGCAGTGATTTCATAAACCTGTTAATGTACGCATTCAAACACTTTTTCTTTTACCAGCTGTATTCACCTTGCAGGTGCAGCTATGTGGCTTTTATCCTGGATAAAGTGTTTAAGTCATGGATGTTTAAAGTTTAACTTCTTCATATTTGACTAATATTAAAGTTCACTTTTCATTCAGGAAGTATGACGCTGCTATGTCAGTACGCTTGTCCGTGTTTGAGATTGGTCGAATGCTCCAAATACCACCCCTTTCATGTGAACGCGCACCTAACTAGATAGGACACGGCTGGCTTGAGCGATCCACTTGATAACCAGCGTCGTAGTACAGTTTAGCGAGAGCGCGTATGTTTTGGATTGGGCCAACCGGCTAACTCAAACATATCCAGGTTAGGTTGAACCAGCTTCGTAGTACAGGCCTTTGGTGTACATTTGTATCACTTCAAACAATGTAACAGATGATCAATTGATCATATGTTGAACAGTTAATATTAAGATATACAGGTACATGTTTTGCACTATGAATGAGAAGATACTCTTTCTAAGTTCTTTGCAGTGTGATGAAATACTGTCAAAACATAAACACATGATTTGGACTCTTACAGCTATGTTAGTTGTCTCATGTTGCATTAAAATGTCACATAGTGATTTACAAGTGAAATTAATTAACTTCTGGATTGGGATTCAACCTAATTCAAACATGCTGTTTTTTTGTTTAAATGTTGCCTACATTGTACTGTGTCTGTTACTGATTCACAATTATTTGTGGTTAGTGTTATACCATCTCTTTTTGGTTAAAGGGGACCTATCATGCAAAATGCACTTTGTGATGTCTTTTATACATAAATATGTGTCCCCGGTGCGTCGGGGAACTCACGCAGCGTCAGAAAATAAAACCCTCTCTCTTTTCCTCCGTACCCAAATATTTTAAAGACGGTGGTACAACGAGCGGATACAGATTTGCTGCCGATCTGACGTGAAATCGGCAGCGGACCCACAGAAAATTCCTATCAGAAACAATGCCTGACGTGTTTTGGACGTAATCTCGTCTTTGTTTACATTAGCAAGCCTCGCTAACACTCAGAGCTAACCTGTACTGAAGAGCACATGTGTTTTAAAAAGCAGGAAATAAAAAAAGGAACTCACCTTGTGATAAACCCGCAAGAGAAAAAGCATTTGAGCTCCATACTGTTTCAGAAATAATCTTTGATGTGGTTTAGAACAGGATGGCGTTTTATCACAGCAGAATTTAACTTTATCTCCGGTAGAATCCTGATCAGGCATTAGCTCCGCCTCTTTCAAGCTAAGGACCCAAAATACGCGTTTCTCTAACAGGACTGCAAAAGAGGGGTTTGAGCAATATGAGGCATGGCTACAACGGGTGATCTGTTTGGTATTTTAAGCAAAAAACTTCATAGACATGTTTTGTATACGTATGGCCCTACAATATATTTTTCCAATATAGCACAATAGGTCCACTTTAAATCAAACAAATGTTGGACTGATCTCATTGGCCTGTTTCTATTTTAAGAGAACCATGGAAAGGATTTTTTTATTTTGAGGACTCTTCTTTGCATTTATGGGTTGTTTGTATCATAACTTTTACTGTATTTGGCCGATGCAGCTGTTGTGATATCTTTGATTAATCCTCCTCTTCCTCTCACAGCCCGTCTCTGTTGGACCTAGTTGAGATCGAGAAGAAACTGAGGGAAGCCAGGGCAGAGAGAGAGAGGCTGCTCAGAGAGAGGGTGAGTCACCTGCCGTGAGAAACGCTCGCTGACACCTCTAATCAGCCGCGACACACGGCATTAGACACGGCTGTCTGATCGCTGACGCCCACTCAGCTCGCACATGAGGGTCCAAGAGGAAAAGCCAGCAGATGTCTGGATGTTTGTGATGCATGTTTACAGCATTGGAGAAGTCCAAGACTGAAGAATGTGTAGCCATATGATTGTGGGTTTATGTGGAGTATGAAAGTAGACGAAGCAACTTTCAGTGGCACATATTGAATTAAAGTTTCTTTTTTGAATGCACGTGTCAGGAAATCCTTCGTAAATACTACTCTGTTAAAGAGTATCATCATTGTGTTATTTATTTTTTTGGGCTAATAATTCAATTATACATGTGTGCACCCAGGAAGAACGACGGCAGTTGTTTTTGGAGGAGAGAGAACAGAAAGAGCTAAAGTCTCCGAAAACAGAGCCCACAGAACCTACAGAGGCAGAGAACCAAAAACGGCTCGAGCCAGAAATGAAGGAGCAGCCAGAGGCCATTTCAGAGGTATGTATGAAATGACAAGCATCAGGTCGTGTGAAACATATTATTAACATTTTTATTCTGAGCAATGATCTGTGACAATTTTTTTGATCAAATCTATGCAGCAGAACCAAAGATAGTCTTGTTTAGTCTATGCATTAAATTGTTGATTTTTTTAGTAAATATTTATATTTATCAAAAAGTGAAAACACTGGTCTGAAGATGGTAGAGGACAAAGAAAACGCAGTGAAACACAAGACATGCAACAACAAATAATAAAAAAAAAACTGAAATCCTATAGTAGTTTAATACAAATAAACACAGAAAAACTATGAGTTTGAACTTTCAACCCTTAGCAAGAGTTAGACATTTTTTGTAAAACAGCATCAGAAATATAAGATTTCTCAGATTTGTACACAAAACAGTATATTGCTTTATTTATAAAACGGACAAGTAAAATCAAGCAATCTGATTGGTTCTTAGCCGTGGTATACTGAGCGTATACCACGGGTAGAATTGTAAGTTACTTTTCACAACAAGTCAGTATCCCTCCGCGTCTGAGATAAAGAGTATACAGTTGGGCTGAAAAGCAAACTGCAGCGGAGAAGTAACGGGGCAGAAACCCTCCTTTTTACGCAACGGTCCAGACATAGACATCAAACGGCAAAAACATATTCAGTGTGCAGTGCCTTTGGCATTAGGGCAGGGATATTTAGATACTTTCCAAGGTTTGACATAATGAATTGTGCTACTTTTAAAGCAAGCAACGATGTTTTCAAATCTGTAATAAAAAAGGTCCGCAAAAACATTTAAGATTAACTTCGACCTCCGGGGGGGGGGGGTCTTACTATGGAGGAGTGGATTGAGGAGTGCCTATCTCCAGAACAAAAAGCACCTAAACGACGACATGCAGAGCTACGTGAAGAGCAGGTAGACCAACTGGAAAAGTACCACCATTCAAAAGCTTTCTGATGCGGGTCTTGAAACAAAGCAGAGAAATGATGACCGTTAGTGGCCACAGGTGCGAAAGCTCTCTCCAGAGCTACTGGAAGCCGAATCTCGGGGACCGGAGAAAGTGGAGCAATATTCTCGCCACGCCAAGCAACAGCCTAGAACAACCTCAGCCTATACAAGTAACCACGTAAGCCATGCTACTGATGCTGGACAGTTTTTCAGTGGGTGCACAATAAACGGCAACATACACATTAATGTAAATAAATAGCCAAATAATGGATCAACGCTCTCTGTCTAATATGTTCGCTAGCTGTTGTTAGTGTTGTTGCATAGCAACCACCTCGCACTATGTTTCGTGCAGAAGGCAACAGAGGGACTATTTTATTTTGAACATCATTATTTACTAATAAAAACTATTTAAATTAGAGTGTGTATTTTTCTTTCATATTGCCACACTTGGTAACCGTTTTATAAAAGCAATAGCTCACTTCAGGCCGTGATATATGCTCATTATATCACAGCTAAGGGGGTTGTCGACCCTCCGCTTCGCGTCGGGCCGAACCACGCCCCTTAGCTGTGATATAATGAGCATATACCACGGCCTGTCGTGAGCTATTGCTTAAATAACCATCACGAGTACAGGGTGTGGGGCCAGGTAAATCAAAGCAGACACACATTTAAATACATGTACAAGAAAAGTGCAGCCCATTTTCTTTCAGGCCAAATGCACATGTGAGAAAACGTTTTTTTTTCTGATGGCAGAAGGCCCTCCAGCCGCTCAGCCTGCCCCTCTTCCTCTCTCCGAACTTTGACCTCCGGGCCCATGTGGAGTCTCTGGGTCATGGAGTGAGTGGCAGCACGGACCTGCGCCTGACACCGCGACGCTGCGCCGGCTTCCTGACCAAACGAGGGGGGAGGGTGAAGACCTGGAAGAAGAGATGGTTCCTGTTTGACATGGACCACAGACGACTAGCCTATTATACAGGTTAGACCGGCTGGGGGAGTGGAGAGTGTGCACATAATGACTGCTTGTTTGAATAAATGTACTAGATATCAAACATGCTGTCAAATAATATTTCATATATAACATCACTTTTCAGTCTTTATCCAACACTTATTATGCTGTACATTATATTGTGTTTTCGCTAAAATTGTTTACTTTGAAAGAGAACAACTTGAAAGCATTTTTTCTTTAAATATGAGTTTGTTGTCACCCCATTTTCCCCACGTTTCTTCTGTTTTCTGCAGACTGTGATGAGAGGAAGCTAAAGGGAGTAATCTACTTCCAGGCCATAGAAGAAGTTTACCTTGACCATCTACGAACAGCCAATTCTGTGAGTAGTTATACACCGTCGCACCAGCGGACTCAGAAAGATCTGTTAAAGTTTGTGGCTTAGGGCTTGTGAAAAACCTCTGGTCTTTGATTCTGTAAAGAAGATGTGGCTCAGTCATGACTTGCAAAAAAACATATGAATACGACATCTGTAATTTCCCCGATTCAAATAAAGGTTTCAAGCCCAACCAATATATCTAAAAAACTATGTATACTAATAGGACATAGAATTATAAAAAGACACATTGAAGTGTTGGTTGACAGTATTACACATCTAGTTATCATAATCTTCTTTCCTCGTCTTCTAAAATAAAATAAAATCGCTATAGTTGAATATCTGCTATAGTAAGTTCATAAAAAAAGTTTGTAGTTGCATTTAATTTAATAGACAAAGAATCCATTCAAACTGAAGCACCCAGTTGTTCTGCTTCTGGGAAAAGTTATGACGGACTTAGAACAGTTATTTAAAAGTTATTTATTTTTAGTAACTTGGGGTTTCATATGGAAAAATGCTAAATCTCTATGTTAAGGTACGACTTGTAAAAAGTAAAAATACTTGTTCTTCACCCTGATTTATGACAGTATTTCGGTCTGTTTCTGTCTCTTCAGTCTCCACGGCCCAGCCTGACATTCTGCGTGAAGACGTATGACCGCCTTTTCTTTCTGGTGGCCTCCAATCCGGTATCCATGCGGATTTGGATGGATGTCATCGTCACGGCAACAGACGAGCACAGCCGTTATTGACCTCCTTCATACTTGACTGTGAAAACCCTCGAGTGATTATTGAGCGGACAATGCACTGATTGTGTCTCCTGTTTGTTGAGATCCACCTCAGCAGCTGATTCTGTACCTGGACTCATGACTCTGTGGATAAAGCGTGACACGAGGAGGTGCACTGGCTCCAGATGTTGAACAGATGTGTACGAACGCAGTGGGGGAAACTGTTACTTGATGCTTGAGTGGCGGCTGAGGTTCAACGCTGAACCAGCTGCAAGCCTTCAGCAGTTTAACACATCAGCCTGCAGCTGGGAGTCTGTTACTGCCAGGTTTCTCTTTGAGCCTGAGCTCCCCCTGCTGGTCTGAGCGAAGCATTACAGCACAGGTGTACACTAAAATTACAACAGGGTGTGAACACAATACTTGCAGCACCTGTCGATATAACGCAATCTAATATAACAATGCAACCATTGTATTAGACTGTGTGCTGGGTCACTATTTCTGTCTAGTCTTGGATTGTTTTATATGGTCAGGTGTTTCCTCAAATAGGTCCATATGCTGTGTATTTGTTTTCAGAAATTACATTTTTATGAATTAAGTTATTTGGAAGTGTATATGGGTTTGATATGCAAACAAATGAAGGCATGCACTGTTATGAATGCACTATTAAATGTTTATTCATAAAAATGTTGGTCTTTTTTTCAATCAACATCTATATTGCCAACTTAATAATAACAATGGCACACAAATATATTCTGATCATGGAGTCTTTGATTAATATTTAGCTATTTTGCAATGTGCTGTTTAGCCTCTTGCACATACAGTAGGTTGTAAATAGTTGCATAATGTCCAGTCGTCCCTATTTTTAGTTATGTTTATTGTCGTCTCAAGATATGCGTCTGTTTTATCAATATTTTCACAATTACTAGTCATTGGTCCTGTGTCGTGTGCCTTATATTTGTTTGTATTTATATTTGTATATCCTTGTTATTATACTCCTACAGGAGTATTTGTTGTAGAACTTTACATAACATTTCACAAAACACTGTTATTTTCTATATTTATTTATTTCCAACTAATATGTGAGCGAGCTTGCATGAAATCATGCACACACACTCCAACATCCCTGACACCTGCGTAACTTATTACCTGTTTTTTTTGTAAAGTATTTTAACAATATCCACTATTTACTTGCAGTGCAGTGTGCACAGCAACACCATTTAAGTAATAAGCTGGTAGATAAATGTCTTTATTGACGCAGAACACAATTTCCTTCCTGTTAGTGAGTTGGTGCTTAAGAGGATCTTCACTAAGATGTCGTTTTTACATGATCAAGAACAAATCAGATACAATGTAATTATGTATTTGGTTGTGATATATATATTTATTTGCACCAGTCGTGGCACCTTTAGAGCGAATGTCCTGCTCTTTTGAGATGCTTACTGTAACAGATAAGAATCTGTCTGTATAAAGCTTTGACCTCATGTTTCAGACATTTAACCACTTCTGTCTTTCTTACAGCCATCTCAACTGACATCAGTGCTGTTTGAGTCAGCATTTACTTTCTTGGTGTGATTAAATGTTTGTAGAAAACAAACACCAAATATCTGTGTTTTAAGAACCAAACTGATTCACTTTTCCTTCATCGTGTTCTTCTCTGCGTAGCTCCTAAATGTGGCTGCTCAGGAAAGTTCAGAAATAGTTTCTGCTTGTTCAAAAACATCACACACAATGCCTACTGGCAACTAGTTTGGTAAAGCCTTTATACTTCACTTTGTTTTCACTTATATTTACTTCAACTTGACTGTTTCATTTATGACACTTTATGACTTCTACTGTTTGTGCATGTAAAGTATCACATTGTTGTTTCTTCCCTCTTTCTGCATTGCCTTTCATTTTGTTTCTCTTCACTTCCTCTTTGTTTCAAATTGACAAAATGATCTGATGAAACAGTTGAGTACTTGAGTGTGGAAACAAAGTCATTTTTTATATTTTCTGTTTGTCGAATATGTAAATCAACAACTCACTTTTGAAAACACATTTATATTTCATTATAACATTCTGGTTTGGAACATTGTTCTGTGAATCCCTTAGGAAATGACTGATGGGACTTGCATTAATGTAGTAAAAAGATATTCAAAACTCTATTGTGCTGAAGGCCACACCCCGGACACATCTTTCAAAAGCCATCAACATGCGACACCAGTCTGACATGACTCAGTTGTTGGACTATTACCACTGACCCTTCTATGCTGGTGAAACCTTTATTTGTTTCTTTATCCATTTCTGAAACGTAGATCAGTACTGTATATACTACTACTACTAATGTATTTATCTCTTCTTTAGAAATAGAAAATATCGTATGCTGACCATCATTGTTGGCTGTAAGGTAAGATAATTGTTTTTGAAAAAAAGTCATACAATGTCAGGCTTTTTTTTATCGGTTAATTCAGTCATTTTGTTACATATGTATATATTGTTTGTTCGTGGTAAAAATAATTTACATACCTTTAAAGACATTTTGTAATTTTGTTTTATTACTTTCTACATAAAAGGTTTTGCAAAACATATGCAAAACATTTTAAATAGTTATCAGTATATGTATATATTATATTATATTATTTCATATATATATTGCTTTCTGTTTGTAAGAATAATGTGCATACCTTTACAGAATTTCTATCAAAACAAATGCAAAATATTTTAAATAGTTATCATTAGTTAACATCTTCATGCTGGCTCCCTTATATTATCTTTGAAAGGAGGACATTATTTCCTCTTTTTAGTGATGAAACCAGTAACAGTAAGAGTACATTGCAATACAAGTTAAAGCAATAGTTTAAAAGTATGAATTTTATAAATAACTAATACTTTTCAGTAGTATTCATTATGTTTTTTAAATAAGCAGCACTGCTTCTCTACTGTGTGAAGCTTGATATTACTCAAACTGGGTTATTCTTTCAGCAACAAATATCAAACGTCACATTTGATCATATTTACTTTGTGAAGTATGAAGTGAAGTTAATATAATTCCCCCCTATAAAACATGTATTCTTCTTTAGTAGGGCTATTCATATTGTAGTAGGTAACTAGTAAATACAAATGAATAGATGTTGTGTCTGTTGTGTGGTGCCTCTGTAGGAATATCAAGCTGACAGAAAAGCATGACGGGTGCTTTAAAGGTTTTCCTCCTTCTACTTCAAGGTAGGGTTTCCAACAATTTAATGCCTTTGATGTCTTTTGATTACTCACAAAAAGTGCAAAATATGCTTTTTTGTTTATAGTTAAGGTTGTGTGTGTGCTGTTTATTTGGACGGGTTTGTTTTCTTTTAATTATGACAGTTTACATTTCTGCTTAATTATTTTTTCAAGATAAGCTACAGTGTAGTAATGGCAATGAAAATCTTACGACCCGAGCTCCTCCAACGATGCAACATATATAATAACATACAATTAAAAAAATAGTGCAAGAAGTCTATATACATGTAAATAGACTATGATATATACAAGAACAGAATATGAAATTAAATAATGTACATTAAGACGAAGTTAAATACGGTTTATTGCGGTGATAACTATTTAGATAAATAAGTAGATTGCAAGATGACAAACAGATGAATGTTTGTCGAGGCACTTAACAGAGCTCAGGTGTTTAGTCTTATGGCCTGTGGGATAAAACTGTCCCTGAGTCTGGTAGTTGTTTGAATACTTTTATTTTTTTTACCTTGGCGGATATTTAATGTATTGCTTTTATTTCACCTCAGGTAGCTTATGCTTGGAGTGGGAAATCACCATGCCTCTGAGAATAGATGGACTAACTGGATCCTGTGTGAAGGTCCCCTGCACTTTCGACTTCGACTCGCAGTTTGATGTAGATCTGGATCATACCTGCAAAGCAATTTGGATCAGAGGAAGCCTGAAAGGAACAAATGTGTTTGATTCCAGCCTCACTGGAGATCAGGCAAGGGGAAACATTCTGCAAGGAAACCTAACAGGGAACCTGCAGAACAAGGAGTGCACCACCATCTTCTACAACATGCCACCGTCCCATTCTGACTACTACTTCAGGATTCAGTGTGATAATGGGCTGAAGGCCACCTATCCAACAGGAGTCCATATCACCACTCAAAGTTTGTAATGTGTCTTTTAATTTTTTCACTTTACACATCTTTTGTTTTACCTCTTATGATTTACTTGTTTTTTTTACTCCTCAGATTCACTGGACCAACCTACCATAACTCCATCTACACTGGAGGTAGAAGAGGGGGCTCTGGTGACGTTGAGCTGCACGGCTGTAGCTCCGTGTCCCATCCTTCCCCCAGATCTGACTTGGACCCCCAGGATAGGTGACATTGAGGAGAAACATGAATCTGAATCCATGGTCTCTGTTATGAACTTCACCTCTTCTTACCTCCACAATGGACAGAATCTTTTGTGCACCGCTCTCTACAAACGACAAGCTGGCAACACCGACCTTCGGTTGGAAAAGTTTATGACCCTCCATGTTCTTTGTGAGTATGTTTCAGGCCTTTTCTTGTTGCTGAGTAGGATGTTGATTTAGTTCACATTTAATCATTCCCTTAATTTGATATAATGTGATGTTATGAAATGTTCTTCTGGGGACTCTGCAGAGTATTTGGATCAAGTTGTGTTAACTAAAACTGCAGACTTGATTATTTAATGGAAAAGCACTTCTCTAACAGGGCTGAAATAGAGGGGTATGGGGCATGGCTAGAATGGGTGATCTGTTTGGTATTTTGAGCAAAATTGAGACATATAGTATAGATGCCTAAAAATAGTATAATAGGCGACCTTTTAAGAGGTTTTTCACATTCTCCCAAAAGTTGGTAAGACTTGTATTGATTCATGAAGCCATCATAATGCTTTAATATTAACAACCTTGGTGGTGCACACAATAGGGTGTTTTGTACAGTACATTGGCATGCAGTACGGTATGTCTTTTTGACCAGTGCTATATGAGAACATTTGTTTCACTCTCACATTTGTCTGTCAACAATGTAACTACAGCCAGAAGCTGGTTAGCGTAGCACAGCACAAAGACTGGCAACAAGTGGGAAAACTAGCCTGGCTCTGTCTAAAGGTAACAAAAACAGCTTACTAGATTTTCAATCATCTCTTCCAGATCCTCCAAAGAACACATCAGTCAGCTACTCTGCTACAGTAAAAGAGGGCAGCTTGGTGAATCTGACCTGCAACAGCAATGCCAATCCAGCTGTGTACACTTGGTACAAAGTGAATGGAGGTCAGGTGACCGATGTGGGTTCGGGGAAAAGGTTTTCCACCACTGTCTCAGAAGTTGACAGACAGTTTTACTGTAAAGTCAGTAACAGATACGGAACCCAAAACTCATCCATCACTCAGATAGACGTACAATGTAAGTCTGATTAAAAAACAGTCAGACAGATGATACATATTGACCAGCAACATTTAAAAATATATTTCTGTTTGTTTTATTTAGTTCCTCCCAAGGAAACTACAATTATCATTCAGCCTAAAGGTCCACTTTTGGAGGGCAGCTCTGTTTCTCTGCTTTGTAAAAGCCGGGCCAACCCACCTGTGACCAACTACACCTGGTACAAAGGTGATGAAGAGGAAAAGGAGGCTGGATCAAGTTTGGTTTTAAATGATGTCAAACCAAGCAGCAGTGGTGACTACTACTGTGCAGCAAAAAATGATC